GACTAGGGATTATGGTTTCAGGAAGTTTTGACCATGGTTTAGTAAATATATTCTGCAGTATTTCCGCTGTATCTGGAGTGCTGTCTGAGATTAAGTTGTTGTTTAGATTGTCACCTTCAAAGCCAGCTAACTGGGATATCGTTCTATGCCATTTTGCTGCATCGTGTTTGCGGTTGCTTTTGACCTTAGATGAATAAAATTCTGCTTTAGCTTTCTTGATAAGTGTAATGATCTTATCAGCCAATTGTCTATATTTGGTCATGTTCCCAGTAGTATAGGCTTTTTGCCTCGCTTTAATCTCTTTTTTTATATAAGCCGTCATCCATGGCTTGTCAGACGCATGGGTACGTATCGTGGTTACAGGTATTGTTTTATCTAATATGTCTATTATAGTATTTGTAAAAAGACTAACTTTGTTATTGATATCTCGAGCCTCAAATATTGATTTCCAGTCTTCAAGGTTTAATTTTAGGCCGAGTGCATTTAGGTTACATGGTTTCGTTAGGCGCACTTTTCGAGTAGAAGGCTTCACGGTTTGTATTGTTTTGGGACTATACAACAAACATTGATGGTCAGAGCGACCAACTGGAGGCAGGTGCACCACTTCTTTATATAAATCTGACATGTTCGTTAGTATTTGGTCCAAAACTCTGGTGCCTCTTGTCGGTGCTTTTACAGACTTCTTCAAGTTAAATCTTCTGCATAGTCTACTCAGCTTCATTTGATTGAAGTCTCCCATTATGCATACACGAGCAGACGGGTAATCTCGTAAGACAGAATCAAGTCCCCTAGTAATATACTCAATCAGTTCTCTTTCACTTTCTGCCGACTGCCCTGGGGGGAAGTAGACGCCAACTACCACTATAACGCTAAAAGGCCTAGGGGTTCTGGGGGGTTTAAGAAGCAGCCATAGGACCTTTCTGTTATCTTCTTCTAAATTTTTTAGACATGTAGTTGGTATACAAGCGTTCACATATGCTAATACACCCCCTCCTGGTGTAAGTCGGTCCCGCCGATAGGTATTGAACATTCTTCCAATATTTATAGCAGAGTCGGGTATATTTGTATTCAGCCAGGACTCTGTAATCATAATCAAGGAGGGACTGTTCATTTCAACAATAGCGTGTAGATCGTCAACTTTGTTCGAAATGTGACATATGTTCGTTAGGAGGATAGTTGGCATGTTAGATATAGTTTTATTGGCGGTTTGATTAGTCGGTCTAGAATTCCGTTTTGAAATGTTTAAAGTAATTAGGTTGGTAGGGTTGCGCGTATTTAGTTTATATCTATAATTACGTGATGAGATTATAACTGGAATATGAGCCATTATACGTAGGTTGAATATTTCCCAAGATGGGTGCTACTTTTCTTTGACCACATAGTTTGTGTTTCTTTCGATTTCCATGGCTTACAACGTATGTATTTAGGCCAGAAATTATCTTCCTGAAGCAGGGAACTGACGGCCGAAGGAACATGGATCTTAGATGAGATTGTTCCCCTGCGTCGACTTTTGAAAATGGAAATATAAGTCGGGATTATATTTCGTTTATTAAGAAAAGATACGATTTGGCTTTCTTTCACATTCTCGTCTATACCTGTTACGAGAAATTTCTTGGTTTTACTTCTATTTCGTTTGACACCAATAAAGCCATCGAGGTCACTAGACAACTCGTCAATTTCACGTTGTGAATTCTGGGGGCTAGATGTGGGTATTTTGTTCGTTTTAGGCATTGCCATAGATTTACGATTTTTAGAGACAGGAGAAGATGCTGCTACTTTTGCATATGTCACCTGATCTCCTTCCACTTTAGTTTGTTCAGCGCCAATTGAATCATTAGTTGATATAGGACGAGATGCAGTAGACACATCGTTCGACAATTCTATAGGTTCTACTCTTACAAATGAAGTAGAGGCATTTTCATTAGGTATTGTATGATCACATCCATTGTTCTCGGTAGGATTAATCAGTTCATTCGAGACAATAGGGCTGCATACTTTAGCCTTGTTACCATTACAGATGTTTTCCCGATTTGCATATTCAAAAGACTCGTTCGTTATAATTGTTGACTCAGTCCGAAATTCATCATCGGGAATCTTTTTATTTCTATCCATAAACTCTTGAAATTGGCGAATTGCCGGTCCTATGTTAGAAATCGATTCCGATATAGCTTGGATCGCTTCGGAATTGGTTAATTGGCCAAGCTTAAGACTTTCGAGGTCTTCACAAACATCTTGCATGCTTGATTGCTTAGCAACTGAAATGTCCTCGTCCTGCTTACATATCTGCTTGCATAATTCCTTCATAACATCGCCCACTTTCTCGCCATCAAGATACAACAAGTTTTTATTCTTTTTCCATATTATTACTGAATCATCAAAGGTAAATAGCTTTTTGTCACCGCCAGGTTGAGACCATGTTCCATTGAGCTGCAGATCTTCGCTAACAAATGCGATGACGATGTATCTGACAAACAACTCATTTTTGTTATCTCTATCCATTTGTCAAAACAGAAATTCACTATTAAGGGAAATCTGAAAGAATTATGGGATCAAGAATTAAAGAAATTACAATCCTTCGTCAACGGTGTATGTTTGAAACCTGAATTAAACACTGAAGATTTAAGTTGTTTATACAGGGAAATTTTTACTGACACGAGTGTTACTAATCTCGACGGCGTATCGTTAAATGCTCTCGATGACTCAGATTGTGATGATATTGAAGAAAACCCGACCTCTGAATCACCAAAGAAACCCGGCCTGAAATCTCCCAGTACCAAGTCGAAGGTCAAAAGTTTTCGACAAATCAAAGTTATCTCCTCACCTCGCCGCAAATTATACAAAAAATCAGCGACACCTCATATTGAGCAAAAACAAATTCTTGACTTTATGGAAAAGACCAATAGTCGAATAAATAAACTAGAGCAATTCGCATTGAAAGTGGACAAAGTTATTGCCTCAACAGATGTTGATATAATTGATATCAAGAATAAGCTATCGAATATAAAGAAAGACCTGTCAGAGTCTTTAAACTCCGGAATGAAACATGAGCTTTCGGTTATCAAACAGGCTCAAACCAATGATCGGGACGAAATAAATAATCGCTTCGCCAAAACTAATGCAGAATTAAAACGACTTCAAGGTCGCGTTGGTTCTTTGGTCGATGAAAAGGCAAATCTATTAAAGAGAATAAAATATTTAGAAGAGTCTAACTCGAAGCCTCAAGAAGACATCTCATCATCTGTAGATAATATATCAGAAGCTATACCGAGAAATGAAACGACATGCACAGAAAGTACATTCATACACACAACCCAAGAAGAAAACCCCAATAGTACTACACAAGAAAATCTGATTGAAGATGGCACTAGCTTATTAGATGACGGACACATACCTGTACATACACCAGAATATGATTTTGTTTTCCTTTGCGATTCAAATAGAAAATTTATCAACGCCGATCAACTATATCCGAAAGGAAAGAACAAAATTATCGCTTGCGGTACAACTGACAAAGCCATCGACATATTGACATGGCCAAGATTCAATGTTAAACATGGCATTATCATTAATACTGGTGTAAACGATTTAGAACACTTATCGACACAGGAAGTAACAGAGAAACAGCAAGAAATGGTCGAAATAGCAACTCAGAATTTCCCGAACAAAAAGATCGTTATGTCGAGCATCACACCTAGATGTGATCAACTCGATAGATCAGTGTTTGAAGTGAATAAAGCCGTTGCTAAAAACATTCGAAATATCCTAAATGTGTTTTTGGTCGACAATGGGAATCTACGTTGTGATCAGCAGTCATTCCATTTCGACGACAAACATCTGAACAGGAGACACGGGATACCTCTCTTTGCGAAGAATCTAAAGGATGGAATTCGAAGAGCTTTGGGTATCCCTGTTCGTAAACCCGCTGATCAAACCAGAACTCGGAATTACCCCAAGGAGAAAACACATAATGTTCATAATCCAAGAAGCTATAGTGATGCTGTTATAAACGGTTCACCTGCAATCACTCCACAAACGCAGAGTAACCCAGCTTTGAGTGACGTTCAACATCAACTCTTCGACTTAACCTCCATGATAAGACAATTAGTTCAAACCAATACCAACTTTCCAGCTCCACAACAACCTATTCTATGTCCCCCCTTTCCGACACCAGGTTTAGTTTATGGAGCTCCACACTTTGGCATCCCTCCCCGACAAGTTAAGTAATTATACAATTGTGTAATTATTTTATTTCTTTTTACCTAATTTTATCTTTATTGTAGTATGTTATTTGTGTGCATGTGTGTGTATTTAGTGTATATGTACATATACGTTTAGTGCATGTGTACATATGGATGCATACATATGCATGCATTACTGTGTGCATGTAATGTATATGTATGTGTGACTGTACGGGTGGTTGTCTTAAAATGCCAGTAACCAGCAATTTTTTAAGATTCTGTTCTTGGAACATTGAAGGGCTTTCACGAAAGATAAATGATTCTGACTTTATTTCCACAATAGGCAAATTTGACTTTGTTTCACTAGTAGAAACTTGGTTATCTTATGATAACAGTGATCTGAATATTGATGGGTTTTACTCATTCTCAAAATGTAGAAAAATGCCAGATAATGGATTCAGAAACTCAGGCGGAATAACAATTTTAGTGAAGTCGTCTCTTCGTAAAGGTGTCAAATTTCTTGACAAAGAAAGTTGCGAAGAATTCGTTTGGTGGAAATTAGATAAAGTTTTTTTTAACTTAACACATGATTTATTCATTTGCTCAGTGTATATTCCTCCACAAAATTCTCCTAGGGAAAAAAGATTAAAGATAAATCACTATGAAACCCTTCAAAATGACATAAATAAATTTGCTAGCCTTGGTGAGATAATTTTATGTGGTGATTTCAATGCAAGATCAGGTCATTTAGAGGATTCTATTAATGATTTTCATCTATATAATAACTCCTCTTCTCCAGTTGATCATCGAAACTCTCAAGACTCCCACATAAATGTATATGGAAGATCTTTAGCTGAATTGTGTTGTGGGAACTCATTAATTACTTTAAATGGAAGGTCTAAAGGAGATTTTGTTGGAAAATTTACATGTCATACATATAATGGATCGAGTGTTGTGGATTATACTATTGTATCTCAAAATCTTTTTTCTTCATTGAGTCACTTCTCCGTTTCTTCCCTTACGGAATTCTCTCACCATTCTTTCTTATCATTTGCTTTAAAGGCAGAAACCCCTGATTTATCTGGTGATTCTAGTATTGAATTAACATCACACCCTATAGCCTTCAAATGGAACGAACAGTGTAGGGAAGTGTTGCTTGATATTTTTAACTCTGACGAAGTCAATGATCATTTAGACACTTTACTCAATCCTTCAAACGATAATGATTTAGACATCAACTCCTTAGTTAACGACTTCACAGAAATTATTACCAAAGCATCTAGAAAATGTATCCCTCTCAAGAAACAGAAAAAAAAATCTAGTAAAACGAGAGTAACACAAAAACAGAAATGGTTTGATAATAATTGCTACCGACTTAAAAGAGAACTACGGAATTTAGGAAAATTAATATCAACACAGCCGAATGACCCCTTTATAAGGCACATGTTCTTTACTAAGAAAAAAGAATATAAAAAATTAATAAGGAAACTCAAAAGAAAGTTTCATAGTGAGACTCTGAATAAAATTAAATCCATAGCAGATAGCAACCCCAAAGAATTTTGGAATCTTGTTAACAAAATCAAATCGAGTCACTCCAATTGTTCTAATACAATATCGCATGATGAATGGTTTCACTATTTCCAGGACCTCAATAAAATTAATTTTTCCTCGGACGAAACTCGTGTTGAGGCTCAAATAGTAAAAGATTTTCGTCTCTGGGCAAACACTAGCGATGAAATTCTTGACAAACCTATCTCATTACAAGAAATTTACAACATTTCTAGAAAACTCAAACATAACAAGGCTAGCTCTAGCGACTTGCTAAACAACGAAATTATCAAAACATCAATCACTAGTTTAGCACCTTACTATGTGAAACTTTTTAACACAATTTTATCTAGTGGTGTTTTTCCAAGAATATGGTCGGAAGGATTTATAACTCCTATACATAAATCAGGAAGTAAAACTGAGCCTGGAAATTACAGAGGTATATGTATTTCTAGCTGTTTAGGGAAATTTTTTACTCTAATTCTAAACACGCGTTTAAACAATTTTCTAGAGGAAAACAATATTTTGAATAATTACCAGATTGGTTTTAGACACGGATTTCGAACATCTGATCATCTGCTTGTTCTTAAAACATTAATAGACTCTTATAAATCAAGTCGGAAACCCATTTTTACATGTTTCATTGATTTCAGAAAAGCATATGATAGTGTTTGGCGAGAAGGCCTATTTTTCAAATTGATAAAATATGGATGTAGCAAAAAATTTGTTGCAATCTTGCTAAATATGTATTCTTCTGTTAAATCGGCGGTTAAATTAGAACAAGGTGTAACCCCGTTCTTTCAATCTCATATTGGAGTGAAACAAGGATGTAATCTGAGTCCAACACTGTTTAATATCTTCATTAATGATATACCTAATCTGTTTAATTCTCATTGTGATCCTGTAAAACTCGATGACACTGAGTTAAGTTGTCTACTAATTATACGCTGACGACTTGGTAATAATGTCAGATTCGGAATCTGGGCTACAACGCTGCCTTCATAATCTTGAAACATATACGAAAAAATGGAAATTGCAAGTAAATTTTAAAAAATCAAAAATCTTGATATTTGGAACACAATCGAAAAGACGACTGTTTATTTCATCAAAATGGTACTTTGGTGACAAACAGTTAGAATGTGTAGATGAGTATACATACTTGGGACTAACTTTTCATTACACTGGTAATTTTAAGATAGCTATAGCGTCACTATACAACAAGGCATTGAGAGCCTACTATTGTCTAATGGATAAACTTTCAAACGTAGAGAATATACCGATAAAGACACTACTAAAACTATTTTCTTCAGTGGTGATTCCAGTCTTATTATACGGTTGTGAAATCTGGGGAGTGTGCTTATTGGGAAGAATCTCCTCATATAAACTTTTTCAAAAGAAATTGTTTAGCATCGTGAATAAACTGGAGTCATTACAGCTGAAATTTTTTAAACGTATTCTTGGAGTTCATTCTAAAAGCACAAATCTGGCTATCTATGGGGAACTAGGTAGAGTTCCTTTGATAGTACAGATCTCTACTCTAGCTACAAAATATTGGTTACGTATTAAAACCCCTAGTTATATAAATACTCTGGTGGGTAAAGCAGCACGCTTTAATATTCGATCCAATTCTCAGGCCATTACTTTTATAAACTATATATTAAAAGTAAGTGATTTGAGATCGCTAGACCACATTTATTTAGAACTTGAAAGTTTGAAAAATTTAGGTAAATATATAAAAAATAGACTAGTTGATTACTTTATTAATTACTGGAAAGGTCAATTTCAAGAAAGTCGTTCTAATGGTAAATTAAGAACTCTCGTACAAGTTAAGAATAATTTCAGATTCGAGGAATACCTTCACGTAATTTGCAATGTCAAACATCGTCAGGCAATAACGAAATTAAGAATATCCGCACATAAATTACCAGTTGAATCTGGCCGATATAACAAAACCCCCTACAATGAGCGAAAGTGCACGTTATGTCAATCAGACGAAATCGGCGATGAATTTCACTATTTAATGTCATGCCCCAATAACGAATTTGTAAAACTCCGAAATACTTTTGTAACAGATATATGCAAAATCAACTCATCCTTCCGTTCAATTGATACAAAAAACTTATTTCTATATATACTAAATGTACATGATAAGTCTATCATGAAAATAATTTCAATATACTTTCATGATACTCTCGCAATGTACGATAGTCTTTTGTAGAATTTCTAGCTTTAATATTATAATACCCAATAGTTTATTAGATTTTATATTATATTATATATTAGAGTTAATCAATATTAGTACGCATGTCGCACTCCTAACCATGAACTATATGTTACGTACTTTATTGTTTAGTTTACAGTACATTAGGTACTTATATGTAAATGTTTTCATATATGCCTGTTTGGTATTTGTTGTTATTGAAATATATTATTATTATTATTATTATAAAGTATATATATTAGAGAGTTAAAGGCTTTAAACAAGATCAAGTTCCAATCGCATACTTTGGCATATCGCCATCATTTTCGACTCCATTCCTTTACCAAGCACTTTCATATCTTTAGTAAGCAACATGTTGACTTTTTCTCGACTTTCTTCGTCCATTTGCAGCATACCGGCTATCTCACTAAGAGGGATAAAAAGTGATTCTAACGTGTACAAATTCTTGGCTTCCTTGTCAAGTACACGACTTTTCCCCCATAGTGTTGTCACGAAGTGGCAGCTTTCTTTCAATTTTTCGTGCACCACGATTATCTTGTCTTGTTGTTCTTTAAGATGCGCAAGATCGGCTTTAAGGTTGGCCAGTATCCTCTTTGTCCGTTCCATTTCTTCTTCCTCTCGACAACGTTTTTGCTCGATATTGCGTCGCTGTTCGAGGTTGCTCGTCAATGTGTTCTCACATGATCGCACATCACTTCTGGTGGAATCGACGTTCCTTTCCGTAGCTTTAATACCGTCTTCCAAGACTGTAAGAGAGACTGCTAATATACCAATTCCAATACCTATGGGTGCCGTTAACAAGCCAAGCACAGTAGCAACAGTTTGTCCTTCTCTTTTGCGTTCCAGTTCATCTCGTTGTTCTCGAAGTCTTTGATTCGCACGATCCAAAGATCGTTGAGCCTCGTCACGTTGGTTTTTGCAGCTGTCGATCCGTTCATCCAGTGAGTTTAGTGTTACGCGCAGTTCTCCGAACCGTCTTTGTTTCTCAGCAATATCATTCTTCATCTTGCTAATTTCTGAAACCTTGCCTTCGATCTCTCGCGAAACACGGTCAGTCTCACCTTGGCACCGGTTGAGAACCTTGGTCAAATGTTTGTGTGCTTTAGGAATGAGAGAAGTCAATTTTCTTATTGCTTTTTTCTCATCTAATTCATCGCTCAAAATATTAACGACGTTGTCTAAAATTTCAATGCTAGTGACAAAATTATTTTGTACAATTGCTAAGGCTGTCATAGTTGGTTATAACTGTTCCAGCAAATGACAAATAATCGTTCCAAATGCCCTGAAATATCATGCAAACAATCTGTGTTTTCATAACCGGGGCGTGAATATATATCCATGAACTAGGTATCTCCTGTTCCGGTCAATGTGAAAGCAACTAACGCGACGGAAGAGGCTTCCCCAGTTTTCTGAGAAGGGATTGACCCTGGGTCGAAATCCTGTTCCTGGTAATTCCGAAAGTAATTACACTCCATGCGACATATTCAAACAGATGACGTGAAAAATACTTTTGCTGTTCCCTCGAAGATTTCTTTTGACTGAAAGACTGAAACTGAAGAGTAAAAATACCACATATATATTGTGTCTAGGCACTCTAACTTAACATTACGGAGGAACAAACGCGACATCACAAAATACATTTTGTATTTTCATGTCCGCATGCGCATCTTTAACTTTCGTATTACCACGGGCATTCCCATAGTGTCCACATTTGGTCATGCTTTTTTGTTGCTTTTTGAGGGAAATCTTAAAGTGGAAGTCAAGTCCGTAATGTAAACAAACGGTTTGTTTACATTTTGAACTGCTGTATTTTTTAAAATATGATGTTCTGTCTGAATATCTAACACCATTTTGGTTCGCTATGCTTCTAAATGAATATGAAATAGAGTTTATGTTCAGAAAAATTCGAAACATTCGAAATTTGGGCAATGTTTACATTAGAGGGTCCTCACATTGTTATGAGCAGAACCGATGCGCAGAACGGACTTGACTTCCACTTTAAATTATTTCGGTTCGCACCACGTCAAGCGACGTAGTATATTTTAGCAGTATATTTTGCAGCAAGAGTCTGTATATTTAGCGGCAGCATTTATTTTGCTTGCACGCTGTTTGCATTTTGGACTAAACATCCTGTACAACTACAATATTTCAATCGATGCTATATAAATACGAGCAGGTTGTCACACATAATCGTATATAATTTATATTGCCTACTATTAACTGATAAATGGTTTCGTCTGTCGAAAATTGGTAAATATAATTATCGTGAATATTAGTTGCCGGTCACCAGTGGCAATCCCAAGACTTTACCATTATCATTGAGAACATAACTAGCTATATGGCAAAATAAAATAAATGTAAATTCACCTGTAATCTATATTCAGATAAAAAACCTTGGCTTTAAAAACCGGCGAACGTCAGACCATACAATATCTTTAATAGCTACTAAGCTAACAGTAGTAAACAATATGAATTATATTCAACTACGTGCTACAACCTGCTAGTATTTTTATGGCATCGTTTGAAATGTGCAAGAAAATTAAATCCACTCCGTGAATATAGAGAACCTGCTGCAAAATATACTGCTATAGACATACTACGTCGCTAAAAGATTCCCCCACAAAGCATGACTGCACCCCAAAATGTGAAAATACAAAAAAAAACATTATGGAAAACATTGGAAGACGAAAATGCAAAGTTTGGAATACGGAAATGCGAATGTCGAAAACGTGGAAATACGAAAATGCAAAATATATTTTGGAGATGTGACAGATGTCGGGTCTGGGTCTAGGATTAACGAGCAGTAATTGTCAAATCACAATTGCATTTCAATTAAACATATGAAGGCTTCATTAATAAACGAGATCAAGTTCTTGTCGTCCATTACCTTCGCAGCGAATCGCAAATTATCGTTTCGAATACACTGCATGAAATGCCAAGCTTTTTGTGATTTTTTAATCACGACATAAATGTTCATGTATATATTGTCAATCAGAGAACATATCGAAATACCAGAGTCATTTCCTGTTATTGTTTAAACTAAAAATAGCTGTTGTGACGGAAGGGACTCCTTCAGGGTTCGAGGAAAGTGGGATTTACCTGCAACAGGAATTTTAACATGTAAGGGGTTTCACCAGTTCGTGGAATAGATTTTTTTAGCTAGGGTCGAAATGCATTTCATTTCGAAAGTAACACCCCCATAACCTATTTAAAGAGAAGACTTGAAAATATCTGTTGCTGTTCGCTAGAACTTTTCTCCTGAAAGCATCTCAAGTAAAAAGACTGAAGAGTACTAATATTGTCAAAGGTTGGTGCGATAATTGCTTATATAGTAGTTAAATATATCCACATATACTAGTAACAAACATTTTACAATGTTTACTTTGGTACCCTTTGATTATACACTGTATGCTAAGTCATAAGTCGTAGGCCTAATGTGTTTTCTCGCGTGTTATGGAAAATTGATTCCTATTTATTCAATTTAATCGCTGTATATGGTGTATATAATATAAAAATCGCCAAGATAAATATAGCTTGAATCAAATCAAACATCGTCCTAATCTTTCTCGAATTCTCGGTAGGATTTATGTTTGGGTATACTGCACAGTATATGTCATATCTAAAATATTCTGACATTCTCTAAGTAAAATATTACTGCTCTTTGAGGTCATCAGCAGAAAAATCCTGCGAAAAGGGCACTAACACTAAGACTCCCAACACTTGGAAACTATATAATATGAAATTTTGAAGTATATAAATTCAGGGATTTTTACTATCTCTAATAAAACGTATAAAGCTATTAAGTCTTGGAAATATGAAATAGAAAGGATTCCTAGAAACATGGTTTACTCTAGAAAGCAACTCAGTAATTGTAAAAAATGTTTGCAACAGCGACTTAGTCAGAGAAACATTTACACACAGTTATATGTTTGTTCTTCGTAAAGCTTATAAGGTATAAACTGTTTTAATTCCTATTTAGCATAAACTAAGGGAGTGTTCATTATTTATAGCCGGGGTTGGTACCGAAGAGAAACTAATTTAAAAGAGAAACAATCTGCCACCCAACTCTTTAGCTGACCATTTTTTCCCTATACCCAACAATCGCATAGTTTGGATTTTTAATTTACCCAACCCAATTTCTAACTCCTATTCTACAATATATTTTCAACTTAATTGTAACTTACAAGTTCATATTATATTACCAAGCCTCCAAGTTCCTGCACTCCTGCCATATCTTGTAGTTGTAATCAAAGGGACCTGCTCTTCCAGATTCTCACCATCAGTACTATCATCTAAATCTTCATACACCACATCAAGTTCATCATCACTAACAGTCATTTTGTATGGTACTTTCAGAGTCACTTACACTGCCTGATTCCAGATCATTACTCTAAACGTCCTGCTTTTCTTTAACGATGAACTTAGCAGCAGATCGTGGGGCATAGACTATAACAGCATTAATTTTATCCGACTTTCTACACTTTGTATTTAGTTGATGTTGTACTAAATATTTGTCGAACTCTGCAGAATACAATTTGTTTATCTTTTCAGAAATCACTCTATCAATCCAATCATAATCCTCGATCATATTTCATTCTTGCTCTTTATTTCATCTTCCTTCTCTCTTCTCTTACTTGCCTAAAGGTTTCTCAAATGTTCTTGGACGTTTGCTGAATTAGTTCCTCATCATTAAGGGTCATTGTTGTACATGTTCTTAATATATGTTCTTGGCTGCCTTAAACAAGGATTCTAGTCATCTGGAACGAGCTGCAGGATCCTATCTGAAGGAGGCCTATCCAATTATTATTGGAACAAAACTCACACAGACTAGCATTTTATGTAGAATTGGAACATGAGAATTTGACATACTCCATGAATAAGGTACCATATATATAATGGGATGACATGAACTGCGTTATTTTGTCAATATATCCCGATGCAGGTAGTGATTTATTCCTTTCTGTGCTGGCATTTTGGTAAACTTGTAAAATGTCTTTATTAATAACGAACATTTTACTTGTTTCTTCAGGCAATTGACGGTGAATTTATATTCGCCAAGTACAGGAGCCCCATTTATCCGCTTTACTAACTCTTCTGCAACTATCTATGCAATCTTGGTTTAAAAGTCGGGTCATTTCAGAAAATATCCACACTCCCCTCACAAAAGAAATTTGTGTCATTTGGAGAGGAAGAGAGAAAATATGTTTTCATGATGTAGTAAGTGTATATAAACTATGAACATGTGAAAGGGATAGGGGATTTAATTTACACTTCCCTCCGTAGGGGGAGGTATGGATGATTTCTGGAATGACATATTTGAAATAAAGGTTTGCACTGAAAATAATTAACTAAACCATAAACTTCGTTCAAAAAAGAAATTACCCAACCCTTCATACTCCAGAAAAACGGCTTACCCAACCCATCTCTCTTTTGTACCAACCCCTGGTATAAATAATGAACACTCCCCAAGTTGATTTCCAAATATTTATGATTACTTATTTGCTTCAATAAAAAGCTTTTTAAATTATTTCCAGAAATGTATTAATTATATAATGTGTAATAGAAACTGTATTTTGAATAGTTTCTCACTGAAATAAATTCAATACAAACGATTTCCAAAATGGTTCGGCGGCAGCCCCCCCAGTTTTTTGGGCAGTCGGGCAATATTCGATCAACAGTCGGGCAATTTTGGCTTGCAATAAAAAAAAATGTGACAAATTCTGTAAATTTTGTCTAAAATTAAATCAATTTCTTGGCAAATTTTGTGATTTTTCGAAAATTTTGTGTATGTTCCGAAAAATATTGGTTGTCCGGAAAATTTTTTTGTCCCCTAAATTGGTACACTGACCGAAATTTTTTTGGCGACGGGGAAGGGAGGTCGCCAAAAAAAATTTTCCGGAAAAATTTTTTTGGTACTAGTCGGGCAAAATCCCGAAAAGTCGGGCAATTTTCTTTCCGCCCCCCCTAATTTTTTCCTTCCGGTACGCCCATGGTTCAGAAAATGTCTCAAATTACGGTTTCACTCTCATAATTAATCATAAAATGTCAATCAACCTATTAATCAATTAAAGTGGAAGTCAAGTCCGTTCTGCGCATCGGTTCTGCTCATAACAATGTGAGGACCTCTAAAACATTGTGAACATTGCCCAAATTTCGAATGTTTCGAATTTTTCTGAACATAAACTCTATTTCATATTCATTTAGAAGTATAGCGAACCAAAATGGTGTTAGATATTCAGACAGTACATCATATTAAAACAAATACAGCAGTTCAAAATGTAAACAAACCGTTTGTTTACATTACGGACTTGACTTCCACTTTAAAGTAAATAATGAAATGCCAAGCTTTTTGTGATTTTTTAATCACGACATAAATGTTCATGTATATTGTCAATAAGAGAACATATCGAAATACCAGAGTCATTTCCTGTTATTGTTTAAACTAAAAATAGCTGTTGTGACGGAAGGGACTCCTTCAGGGTTCGAGGAAAGAGGGATTTACCCTGCAACAGGAATTTTAACATGTAAGGGGTTTCATCAGTTCGTGGAATAAATTTTTTTAGCTAGGGTCAAAATTCATTTCATTTCGAAAGTAACACCCCCATAACCTATTTAGAGAGAAGACTTGAAAATATATGTTGCTGTTCGCTAGAACTTTTCTCCTGAAAGCATCTCAAGTAGCCTAAAAAGATTGAAGAGTACTAATATTGTCAAAGGTTGGTACGATAATTGCTTTTAGTAGTTAAAGATGTCCATATATACTAGTAACAAACATTTTACAATTTTATACCTTGGTACCCTTTGATTATACACTGCATGCTAAGTCCTAAGCCATAATGTGTTTTCTCGCGTGTTATGGAAAATTGATTCCTATTTATTCAATTTAATCGCTGTATAATATAAAAATCGCCAAGATAAATATACAGTAGCTTTGATCAAACATTCAAACCATACATCGTCCTAATCTTTCTCGGTAGGAGAGCTCTACCAATGCACGATTAATGTCTGGGTACACCCGTTTCGCTAGAATCTAGCTTAGTATAATAACTATGAGATTGGTCGGGAGGCGCGGTATTTAAACTTGCCGGATTACCAATCTCGCCAATCTGAGAAGCAAACAAATTACTAGTGCCAGACTACCGTTATCAATATAGTGTATTCAATAAGGCGACGAGCAAGCAGTGTTGAACAACGAATATCAATGACTTTGAGTAAGTAAATCGGACTATTAAATGTGTAAGTGGTATTATAATTTTTGGCTCGCGATATTAGATGCTCTTTCTGCTTGTTGTTACGTAGCCTAAAAGTGGTTCCCTGTGTCTGTGAAGATTGAAAGTAAAAATCGGAGAGTTTTTATACGCAAGTATAGGACATATATTTATCCTTATATATAGGCCTATATATAGGATATATATTTTCAATATTTTGAAAAATTACGTATCATGCCATGGAGTGATGGATATATTATTTATGGTAAAAGTGGTTCCCTGTGAAGATTGAAAGTTACGATCGTACTATAGTGGACCAGGCCGAACTGCGTGACCGAGTTCCGATCTTGTGCAAATCTGTAAACTTTCAAAATCTTCGAGATTTTGATTGATAAACAAACTGAACTAGACACTTGTGAAACTAATGATTCTCGAATTTTGCAGCGTTGATTGAGTTCGCTAAATGTTTTGATCATGCAAGATACTTTATCCGGGCAAAAATATGTCTACAGTCTGGTGTTGTGTATAGAAATGAGGTGTAAATCTGGACAAAGCATCAAGATAACTAAATGCGCAGTTTTCAAAAATATTACCGCCCATTCGAATTCGATAGATGAGATGTCCCACCGAATATTTAGAATAAACATGCATGCCGTGCCTAAATTTAACTTTTGCCATACTTCAAATTTTGCGGTCCCGTGCGTGCCATTGCAAAATATTCATTTGCAGCTCTGTAGTGTGCTTGCCGTGTAAACGGGACTTAACTCTTAAGTTAAGGTAACAAATTATCTGAATTATTGTTATAGGCTAATGCAGTTTTATCTTTCTTAGTCATGTGACTTCATAACTGCACTGATATTATATGATAGCCAGATAGGAGTAATTACTCCTCTGCGCTTTGAGAAACTAAACCAGCGTGTTAAATTTAGTCAACTTAACGCTTATAATTAATCGTTATAATTAGTCGTTCACATTCTTTAGAAGTTTTAGACTGTTGCCTATTGTGTTCACAACAACAGAGAAGACAATGTCTTTCTGATCGTTTGCATTTGCTGATATATTTGCTGAATATTAATGATATGCATATACTACACTATTTGCAACGAATACAGTCAAGTCAAGTCAAGTCAACAAGAAATTAAAGTCATCCCAGATTGTCCCAACCCCCCACAAGCAATTTGTGGAATATGCGCCCCTGATGGTACATATAAACAGGCAATCTTGATAGCCAATTTTCACCCGCGAATTCTTCCCTGTTTTTGCTTTTTGAACTCAATACACTCATACCAGTTACAACAGATACTAATAGTCATGGACATAGTCCATATAAATGTCGCTACTGTATATAAACCATTAATCCACCATTCCATGGCATGATACGTGATTTTTCAAAATATTGAAAATATATAGGTCTATATAGATAATATTATTTGCATATGAAAACTCTCCAATTTTTGGACCAGGAACTTGTCCCCAATCGCTGCTAATGTTGTTGTTGCTGTTGTTGTTGTTGTTGTTGTTGTTGTTGTTGTTGTTGTTGTTGTTGTTGTTGTTGTTGTTGTTGTTGTTGTTGTTGTTGTTGTTGCTGTTGCTGTTGCTGTTGCTGTTGCAGCATGATGCCCTTAGCTTAATGTTCAACTCACAATACTCGAACATTTTTTGCATGGACAATGCAACATGCCTGAGTTTCACAGTTCGCCACGTCCCTGACAGCGAATGTTTTAAATTGCTTCAAAAACGATCGATCTATAGTATTTTCATTGGCGAAGTAATTTTCAAAAAATAGGTTGTGTAAGTCGAGAAAATCAAACTTAAAGTTTATGTAAAGCAAGGGAAATCTCTATCACATATAAACATACGACACACGCCTATGATTATTCTTTGTGTTTTCCTCCTCATGAATTATTAATGAGTTTTCAACATATACTTCGTGATTTCAGCTATTTCAATTCACAACCCTTGACAATAGGTTATTTGGCAATACTGATCGGTGATGGTGCCGGTCAAAGTACAGATCCAGCGTTTTGGATGTTCGCTTTACTAGACAGATATACATCTCCTAGGGGGATCAGCGGGCATGCTCCCCGGAAAATGTTTGAAATTTTGGGTCTCTGAAACAGCATTTCCTACGTTCTGACATGACTTTCCTAATTCATTGAATCATTGAAAAATTTAAAACGTTTCACGTTTTAAGAGTATTTGTAATTTGACCAATACGCAGCTAAAACAATGATTTGAACGTGCATACATGATTATTTAAATGCTTTTCCATTTAGTGACGAATAAGTCACGAATTGATCAAAATGTAGGATTAATTTATCTAACTTGAACATGATAGCTACAGTTTGCACGTATTATTCTGCATGAAATACATTTAATACACTACCACGTTTGTTGATGCAGTCATAGTGACATTTATTATAACAGCATTCTAGAATTCTCTTGTCCTTTCTATAATTATTTGCGCATGACAACTGCATGTGAAAGGGTGAAAGCTGAATGCTTGCTGATATATATATATATATATATATATATATATATATGTATATCTTCTTTACTTAGCAGACCATGTATACATATGGATAAAATATTAAGAGCAATCTATTTACCCGTTTTACAGATTAATTTATTTGTTTATATCATCATACTTGGAATTCGAATTTTGAATGATATATCTTTATCTTCACACTGTATAACAGCAACGTTTTCTGATTAATTTACAGTAACACCATTTTATAAATTCAGATATTCTCACATGGGACAAAACTTTAGTATCGTTGTATTGTTTACAAATTAAAATATTAAATTGATTTCTTAAACTAAAAGAATTAATTCCGTGGGAATTCTTAAGGAATTCCTTTGAAATTCCGTGATAATTACATGTGATTGTCTATAGTAATGAAATTTTTAAGGAATTTCGGAGGAAATTTTAGAATTTAGATAGTTACAAACATAGGTACTAAGCAGATATTCTCAGTGACAACTGTGAGACTGTTTCAAAATAAAATTGCATTTTAATTATTAAAGAAATGCAAGAATGTCAAAGAAACCAAATTGTATACAGTGAAACTTTAAAGTGGGAAAGAGATAGGATGTTGAGATACGGTTAGTGTTTTAAAATCTTGAAATATATGCTGTACAGGTTTTATATGGCTAACATATGTTTATGGGATTAGCATTGCACTATCTCGTGAAAAGGGAATATAGCGTTGAATACAAACTATAAAAACCCAATCATATTTCACTTTAACAAGTATGTAGAAATGAGAAAAGTAAACTAGGGAATTGAAGTATCCCAATATTAAATAGCCAATTAAGATTTTAGCATTCATTCATCCAAATCCCCCATAACATGCAAATTTGAATCATACAGTGCAGTTGCATCAATCCTTTAATTCTATTTCCCTATGGGCAGGGCCCATCCCATGCAAGGTTTATAACATAAATTATTTTATATTATGAATTTGCATTTCTATTGAAAAGAAACATACTGCACAAATGACAAGTCTTATTTTCAGCAGACAATTTTCAATCCTTCAAATAACTATAATTCTTTATATAGTATACCTTGCAATTCTAGAGGTAACACATAATAAGGCAGAATGCTAACTATAGTGCTTTAATTACTCCACAAGAAATAAGGGGCGAGGGATCTTGGTAAACAAGTATGTTTACCAATCAATCCCACTATACCTTTTAATTATAATGGCCACTGTGGTAAAAGCACCCCTATATAATATTATTATTTACCCTCTATTTAACAGCAGATATTCTTACTCATCAAGGGCAATTTTGGACTTGATGAGTAATACGCATACCAAATACTAAACTGTTTCATTACATATTTTATGTCTGGACCTTTGACGTTGCAACAAAATACGTTTGGGTGGGCTAAAAAAATTTTCCAGCATTCCAACGGTGGGGTAGCTGGGAATTTTGTTTCGAAAAAGGTTGGGTAATGATTTTTCCGGCTGCATTATATTTTCTCTTCGGCCCCCACCCCTGCCATTAATGACCGGTCCCTAAAGTATATAAAGTTTGAGTTTCGAAATAAGGGTCGTAAAAAAATCTGATTACTATCTGTTTTTAGGACAGTTTGAAAACCTCAAAATCACTTTTTACAATTTTTATAGAGAAATAAAATAGCTACAAAATGTGTATTTTGATGCCTTTTTTTAAGGTAGACTTCATCGTGCCAATTACACTCGCCTTTTCTCATCTTTTCTACACAGCCTTTTCTTTTATGGTATATATATATAGATTGTAGAGATGAATTTTTTGTTGGTATTTTCTTGATTACGACAAATAGTTATTATCTTGGATAATTTTTCCTCAGAGTTTAAGCCCACTACCCTATTTTTTGTTCAATTCCATAGCAGTACGAGGATAAGTTCAGCGAAATGTCCGTTTTGGTTGTTTTCAAGAAAAAATATTCTCGAACAAGAAAGCGCGCGCGATAATTTGGTCAGTTAAGGACAATTTTCCAACCTGTTATGTAAGAATGCATTGTCTTTAATTGCTTCAGGCGTATTTGCTTGCGCTGGATCAATTTTGTCGATCTGGTTCCATCATTACTTTGGTTACATTCATACTTGATTCGGTATCAAGTCACAAGCACTTTCGAATACTAAACGCTTGAATAATGAATCTTATTGCAGCTATACAGATTAGTGGGAAACTCTAAAGATTTAAAGCCAAAAAATATATTCTCTTTTCTCTATAGTTTTGAAAAATGGCGTCAAGTATACAAGAGGTCGAAAAAAGCATCGCTAACATTAATAAAGGCGCAGATAAGAAAGAAGAGTTGCGAATGAAGCTAGCTTCTTACGCCAACTGGGATCAATTTCTATCTCCCGCTCCGTTGACCATTGCTATCTTGGGTCAGTTGATGTTGGTTTCTGCTAGCGGCGACTTCAGCTTGCAGGACAAAGAAAATCCAATCATGTTTAAACATTTGATGTACCCTAACTCATTCCGTGCCTGTCTCGTTCAAATTAGCAACGAAGGATGGAAGGCTTTTAATTTGGCTCATACCAATATGGACCAAATCCGTCTACATTCAAGTAATGTTGATACCCATGTTAGAACTGCTGTGAAATTCCTCTTGAAAGGTTAGTATCATTATCGTCATTATTTTTATTCATCTCTATTAATATTACTATATATTAATATTACCATTAATACCACACTATACTTGAGCATATAGAGCTTCTAAAATAATTATGCAAATTATGTTGTAATTACTTGATATACAGGCAGTAATTAAGAAAAATCTGCCAAACACAAGTGCGATTTTTAATTATTTTTTTGTGAACAAATGTACCTAATTTCCGTTCAATATAATTTTATAACTAATAATAAATTTATTTAAGTGTCAATGTATTTAGCTTATATATTATTTATTACTATTAATATTATTATTATTTGGTGTTTAATGATACATTTTCGCATAAAATATGAATTACAATGTGTCCGAAGGTCAAATCTAACTAATAGTTATTTTCAGGGTTATAAAGGCTAAGCTAAATTACAGTCTATAAAAGTATGGCAATTATTCATTTTCAACCCAAAACAAAAGTTCTATTTTTCACTGAAATTACTTTATTCACCTTGTGCAAGGTTGCTGACCTGTGTAATCTCGTGTGTGTGTGTGTGTGTGTGTGTGTGTGTGTGTGTGTGTGTGTGTGTGTGTGTGTGTGTGTGTGTGTGTGTGTGTGTGTGTGTGTGTGTGTAGCATCAGGGGATGGTGGGCTCTTTGGGTTCCTTGAAATATATCCTAAATTTTCGTATACATCTAACCGTATCATAACAACCGTGAGTTTTTGTGATCATAATAATCTGCACAACAAGACATACAATTTTGGTATGAATATATCTTATTATGGAAAGTGTAATACTGCCTTATTTGTACGTCGATGTCAACTGTAACAGCAGTGACGTACAGAGACCATTGCGATCCAACGGGGAAGGGGGTGTTCCCCTACAGCCTCTTTGCTTTACCGGCCAACTAAATTAAACCAATTAATTTGCCAACAGGTCGGCACTGTTTTTTCCTACATAATCTCCATTTTATCGACGAGTTTTCTAGGCGTTAGTGGTGGTGGGGGAGAGTCGCACCCCCACATCCCTAGCTCGGTACGCCCCTGTGTACGCCCCAGTGTTTATTTTGTTGTAACAGTAAATCGTTAGAATTATTATAGAAGGAACAGCGTAAGATATGATATAAACAAATTCTAAATAGGTACCGCACATGTACCACATGTTACTGTACATGTTACTACACATGTTACTATATATTTATTATATTTTACTATATAATTTGAACAAGTTACTGATGTTTTTTTTATAAACATAAAAGTATGTATACTTTATAATAATAAACAGCACTAGCATATAGTAACAGGTTGAAAATGTCAACTTGTTCTACATGTTACTGCTATTTTTTATCTAAAGTGTATGTAGTCCTATTTTTATAGAAAACAGCAGTAACATGTAGTAATTTGTTGAAATTATGTAGTAAAATGTAATAATAGGATAGTAGCATGTGCAGTACATGTACAGTAACACGTGCATGGCAACATACGCAGTACCTATTTAAAGACTTATATAGTAAAAATGTAGTACACATTATAGTAACATGAACAGTAACATGTAGTAACATACGGTAACTTGTCCTATATGTAATATATAGAGGTTAATGAAATAGTCACTGCAAGCAGTTATGTCTGGTACCTCCTACATTTCGGTTGACGGAACAATTTTTGAAACTCCCTCTTAAAATAGGCGACAATGCGTTAGTTGTTAACTTTTAATTATTAACTTTGAAAGATCATTTACATTGTCATTGCGCAGAAGCACGTTTTGTAAATACAGGTTAATTGTATATGCAGTAAGGGGGGTCATTTTATTCATTTACACACAAAATCTCCAAAGACTCCAATTATCAGACAAAATATATACTGCCTAATATATAGAGGCTGTTTATATGGTGCAAGCCAGCCTTGGGGTATGGTGCAAGCCAGCCCTGGGGTACCCAAGGCCGGCCCAGTTTTGGCGGGATCTTGCCTTTGTGGTTATTTCCTATTAAAGTTCACCTTGTGTATAGTAAAAATGTAGTACACATTATAGTAAAAATGTAGTACACATTATAGTAACATGAACAGTAACATGTATTAGTATAATTACATAGGTGATTATTGAAAATTCTCCACGCTGATTGGTTGCCGTTGAGGTGATTATTACGCGATAATCACCTAAGCGATTTTCAAAATGGCGGCCGAAGCCGTTTTGTCAATTAAATGACGAAGAAATGTGCATTTTAATTTTTTTTTCCAAATAATCACCTATGAAATTATACTAAAACAATTATTCACCTCAGGCTCGGTGATTATCGTGAATAAAAACCTCGACTTCGTCTCGGTTTTTATTCACCGATAATCACCTCGCCTTCGGCGAATAATTGTTAAGTAACATACGGTAACTTGTCCTATATGTAATATATAGAGGTTAATGAAATAGTCACTGCAAGCAGTTATGTCTGGTACCTCCTACATTTCGGTTGACGGAACAAATTTTGAAACTTCCTCTTAAAATAGGCGACAATGCGTTAGTTGTTAACTTTTAATTATTAACTTTGAAAGATCATTTACATTGTCATTGCGCAGAAGCACGTTTTGTAAATACAGGTTAATTGTATATGCAGTGGATGAACCAGGGCCGGAGATACGGGAGCAGGGGAGGAGTGGGGAGGTGGGGGTGACACCCCCGAAATTTTATTCAGTCGGCAGGACTGCTATTCAGTCGGTAGGACTGCTATTTGGGTCAAATATTTCCGCGCAAAGGGCAAGATATTTGGATTTTTTGGGTAAATGTCCGAATTTTAGTATGAAAAATTGAGGTAAAGTCACTGGAAAGCATTTGCAACATACTCGTCCGGAAAATTTTTTCCTAAAAAGTATACAAAACCTTGAGTATACACGAAAGAGTCTTTATTATCCAACGAACGGATTATTATATTATTAAAGAGATTTCCAGTAGAAGTAAAAGCAGACAGTGTATGATGTAAGTTTCTTGATTATCTCTTTATAATACTATGAACCTTTATGAAGCAAGTCTCCTAAATATTTATATAACATGTAAAATATGTCATGCTTTAGAACTTTAATGAGTATTTATACACCGCGTCTCCAAATATCCCTGCTTAATTTTTGCAGTCTTTAAATTTAGATAATCATGGAAATAATATCCGTAGACTTTTTTAAAACGTATCTTGTCTTACTATATTTTGTAAAGCCATCTTATTTTTAGTTAATTCAAACGTCCGAACATTCAACATTAACACCAGCGAACTATGCTCGCTGGTGTTAATGTGTCTGATTGTGTCCACACTAGGCAAGTGAAACGTTTGCTTGACCACGGCGGGAGACGAAGCCCGCACGCCCTTTGGTTTACTAGTTTATTGCTCAGACAACCGAGCTACAATCTCGGCCAAAACCTTCATGGACACTCTATTAAAACGTTCCCCTGTCGCGTCTTCTCGCTCTTTCGAGCACAATAACATACTCCTTCCACCCCACCCCCCCCACTTCCTTCTGCTTAATGAAAGTCCTAAAAAAACAGTGTGGCCAACAATATTTGAGATCAGTGGTGTTTGCCTGTGCGTAGTCAAAGCACGGTTAAAAAAACAAAGTTTATAAAAAAACATTTTTTTGCTTAACAAGACAATAATTAAGGTAATAAGATTAAATATATCCATTTTCATTATTATTATACCATAAAAATGTGCTTGAAATCGTGTTTAAGGTGGAATGCCCCTCAAAAAAATTCTTTTGAACTCATACATCTTGTCAAAATTTTAGTTGTAGATAGAAAGAAAGTATTCACATTCGTTAGTGAGAAAAAAGGCTTGGTACTTTCTTTTAGACTCAAAACGCCAGCACTAATAACTTGACTAGGACTTAAGCCTCGCCTGTGAAAATTTGGAAAGATAATCTGTTGGTATACCTGCGTGCAATGAACTAAAGTTTTTAATTTTGATACCAGTACTGATGGTAATTGGCATGACTGCACTATAAAAATAATAATTAATGACAATTACAATACAATTACACACAATTTTAGCATTTCTGGTATTGGTAATGTCTTTATAAAATTGCCGTCTAAGTTGTTTTGAAAATCAATACTAGACAATTTGCATGTTAGAAAAGCATCAGGGATACGAGTATGTTTTGGTTTATGATTCCTCTTGGATAAAACAGGCTGTAGTGGCAACCTTTTTGAGGTAAAAACTATATATATATATATATATATATATATATATATATATATATATATATATATATATATATATATATATATATATATATATATATATATAGGTGGAGCAAAAAAACTACGACTGTTTGAATTGCTGAAAAATCAAGACTAAAAGAGCAATGACACTAAAACAAGTTTATTAGAATTCAGCGATATCCAACTTAAATTTTGATATATGTCATGCACATTCCAATGCCATATTAACAAATATACATGCATTTAAACAGGTGTAAACATTTTTGGGACTGGCGAAGTTAGCTAAAAATGGCTTATTAAATATTAATACATACAACATGCATGCAATAACTTGCGTTGAGACGCATTATACTTTATCGTCAGTACGTTCGCGCTTGTGGTTCAAAAACGTCTATATTCATCAGTAAATGCATGTCCTCCAGCACGAATGTAACGTGTTGCTCGTGAAATCATACAATCCAAAGAATTTTGGATCATTTGCTGTTTCAAGTTGCGGCATGCTGTAACAATCGCTTCACGAAGCTCTCTCAAATTGAGCTTCAGGCGGAGTTATTTGAATCGCACACAGACTTGTCCCAGTCAATTGGAGGTACTCTCTCATGTCGAGATTTATTTCAACAAAGTTTGGACCCAATTGAAACAATCATCGCAAGAAAATGGTAAAGGTTATTTAATTGGTTTTAACAGGACCATTTCAGCTAATTCTCGACGGCTCCAAAAATGTTTGTTTAAGTTTAAACGCAGTTATCTCAGTCAATATTGCATGAAAAGGTACAAGACATATATCAAAATTTAAGTTAAACATCGTGGAATATACTGTGACTTACAGTATTTAAGTGTAATAGCTCTTTCACGTTTTAAGTTATAGTAAATCAAACTGTCGTACTTTTTTTTGCCCCACCCGGTATATATATATATATATATATATATATATATATATATATATATATATATATATATATATATATATATATATATATATATATATATATATATATATATATATATACAAAAATATATATATACCTATCACGTAGACATTCAGCTGTTTCTTTTGCAGTTGGTTCAGGACGGGGACATGACACAGCTTGGCTGGGTACAGTGCCACTTGAATATTTAACCTAGGTATAAAGAAAACACGAATACTTTAGGTATAGGGTTGGTCATGGCTACAGAAATGAGGAGCCATGGTGCGACGCTCTTCGATCCATAGTCCAAGAGACTTAGTTAAATTGCGAATTAATACCACTTCCTCCCTTTATTATAATTTCCGCTATACCAATTAATTAGAATGCGCGGAGTCGATTGCAGAAGTTCCCATATAGAGTGGTGTCGGTGGTGAATTTATAGTCGAGCCATAATTAAACACGCTGTTTTCGCGTCAGTATTAAAATAAATAAATACAAGTTGCGCGAATTGGTTTTCCTAGTGGATAAGATCCACATACAGTATAATTTGCAGCATGAGCTCCACCTTTGAATTTACTATATGAGTAAATTCTTAAACACGTCCGAATTTATCATTATGATAAATTCGCGGCAAATTTTGAATTTATCATAATAATAAATTCGCGGCACCTAACACTAACTAACCCCAACCCCAACTCTAACCACTAACCCCTAACCCCTAACCCAACCCCTAACCCTCATTTTTGTTAACTTTTTAAATTTTTTTAACTTTTTTAAAAATCTAACTTTTTAAACTTTTTTTGCTTTTCAAAACTCTTTTAAAACTTTTTAAAACTTTTTTAAAAACTATTTTTTTGAAAAACATGAAAAACTTCCCATCCCCCCACGACCAGCGTCCCTTTTAGAGCCATTACATTTATAACAAGAAACCTTGTGCAATGATTGTGGTTTTATGATTAACTCTATTGATAAATTCAAAATGTGCCGCGAATTTATCATAATGATAAATTCGGACGTGTTTAAGAATTTACTCATATAGTAAATTCAAAGGTGGAGCTCATGTTGATAATTTGTTACACTAGATTTGCTTACCACTAAAGTTGACACAAATGCCACAAGACAGAGTTTGGAAACAACAAGTGATGACATCTTGGCCTAGGAAAAAGACGTCCTATACAAAAATGCTCATTAAATAACATATATTTATAAAAACGCTGCAGTCTTTTAGCACATTTTAAGTTGTGTAGAGTAAGATCTATAACAGTGGGGGGCCGGGGGCCCTTACGAGGATCTTGATCCGGTCTCATCTCTCGGTCATTTTACCACGGGGAAGCCCAACTCAGTCACGAAATTTAATGTCTATCACGGCGATGGCTCCTCTCACACTGCATGATGCATGTTATTTCTCTAGATTTTCTTGGGGCTCTCGCCGCTCAAATTTAAATTAACCACAAATGCAGGATTTTCGTGATATATTAATAATAGAGATACTGTACATATATATTCCGCAGTGTTCATGCATCCTATAGACCTGCAATATTCCAAAACAGCCTGTTCTTAATATTAATTAACGGAAAGTTTTAAAACATTTCAGGTTTAAAAATGGGCAGTTCGAAAATTGAGATTTTATATAAAATTAAATGTCGAATTGACAAACCCGAAACCGGCGACTAAGCAGTCCATATTGCATGCATTCGTATACAAGTTAGGTAAATACAGAGATTTAAAGCAAAATGAAAATCAAACTGGATTCTAAAAATACAGAAAATGCCCAATCTGGACATTCCAAATTTCCCGTGGAGCTTAGCATAGTGGGGGATGCCTAATCTGCACACGTAAACATACCTTTACCCTGTTCAGCACTTCTCCCAGTGGCCGTTTACTAGCTGGATTTGTTACTTGCGTTTTTGAAATAAAAATATTAAATTATCAAATTCTAATTTAAAGAGTCCCTTTTTTCTCCCTGCCTTTCTCCTCTGCTAGACAAGTGAAACTGGTAGCTTCAAGAATAGAACAATTGTTAAAATATTTTACCTTGAATGAGGGCATGACGGGTGGCCTAGGGCATAATGAAAGTAGAAAGTGAAAGTTTGCCAATTTTACTGGTTGCTCCACGGGGGAATATGAAATCATCAAAACCTTTATCTAGTTAAATAAGTAAAAAACTTAAAATCAGGGCGTTTGAATATATGTGAAAGTAAAAAATGCTTGTTATTAGTTATTCAGTTAAATTACAGTTGCGAATTAGATAAAGTAGTAATCCCTATAGAACTTATAGGTAAATATTAGATCATGGAAGTTATTTCAAGCACATTTCACTCCTTGACATTGTTCACGCAGGTGTAAGACAAATTCCTTACAATGACATGCCATTGTGAATTCCCGGGGAGGGACCCCCATTGTTTGGATGAGCTAAGATTAAAATAAATTTTAAGTTCAGGAGCTAGTTGTCAATAAATTATTTTATTAAGACGACTAAGTTATTTCTACAAGTTGGTTCAAACGTCCATTTCTAAAGATTTGAAGAGACGTGGAATATAGTTGCGAGGGATGAACAAAGGATCTAATTCCAGACCAAGAATCTCCTTGAATGTTCCTGTGGCATGATTTGCGTTATTTAGTTAATATATATTAGATAGCTTTCGAAATGTCAAGAGCCTATACTTCACTCTCTCATCAGGAGCCTATACTTCACTCTCTCATCTCGTACCGTGGTTGCGAGTCGGGCTACCCTGTGGTGAAATGACCGAGAGATGAGACTAGGAGCTTTCTCCACTCTCACATCTCGCGGTGTGAGATAAAAACAATTATAATAATTCACGTTTTCCATATCACTGACACTGGCATGCATCACTCCGATTCATATTATTGTGATTAATTAACTTTTTGCAAGCCAGTATAAGCTAAGTGGCGAGGGCGCTTCACTAGGAACCTCAACCTGCGACCTAACTCTGTGTGTTGCAGTTCGGTTGGATTGGTGTTACGTGATGTTTTAGGTCCCGGCTTGAGGAGATCGGATTGTGGAGGCGACGCTAACAGGTCTGGTTGTATAAGTGTTGTACGTTGTGGTTTTGATGAATTGGTATTGGGTTTAGGCTTGAGGAAATTAACTTTCCCATTCTTCCCAAAGGTCATTCCGTTTCTAGCCACCGTTAGGACATTGCTGAATCCTGGGACTGGGTCGGTTAAGATCCTAAAATCCGATGGAATTAGGATAAGTCCCTGCATAATGGCGAAATTCAGTACCACAGGTGTATTCGCAATGGCCGTTTCAATAATACTATAAAATAGAGGCGTTTATTAGCTTTCTTTATACTCTCTCTGATGTTATCTTTCCACTGAAGTGTGCCTGTCATAACAAGACCCAATAATTTTGCACTCTCAACTATAGGCAATGCTTCTCCACCCACCAGTACAGGATCAAAAGGTTGTTTAATTTTTTTAAAATCGATTCTCAGTTCTTTACATTTCTCAGCGTTAAGAGATAGCCCATTTACCTTCGACCAATCTTCCACAACATCAACTGAGACTTGAACACGGCTCTCTGTGTCCTTACTAACTACTTCAGCAACTGTTGTGTCATCAACAAACTTCCACCTCAATATATCACAAATATCAAGATCGTTTATCATTAAACAAAATAGCCAGGGCCCTAATTTTGGACCTTGAGGGATACCGGAAAGTACATCACCCCACTCCGAAAAGCAGTCATTGGATAATTTCACTCTCTGCTTTCGATTCATCAAAAAATCGATTGTCCAGCGAGCAACCGCACGTGGAATAGCTAAATTGGAAATTTTATCAGCCAGTAAAGCATGATCGATAAGGTCGAATGCTTTTCTATAATCGAACAGGATGACTCTGACAGTAGAGCCAGTGCCATCAGTAGCTTGCGACCATTCATGGATCATAGATATAACAGCGAGAGTAGTTGAACTTCTTGGTATTGCTCCATATTGACTTGGATCGATTATACTCATGATAGCTGGAGCAATGTATTTTTTAACAACACAGTCCTCAGCGATTTTCGAAATAGCGGCAGTAAGTGAAATTGGTCGTAACTGCTTACAAATGTCGCTAACGGGCTTAGTTTTTATGAGGGGCACAATGTTGGCAAGCTTCCAAGATTTAGGTAGTTGTTGTTCGGCATAGCTGCTGTTTAGCACAGCGCATACTGGCTGTGCAAGGATTTCAGCATATTCCTTAAGAGCCCAATTGGGAATTTCGTCAGGACCTGACGCCTTTCCACGATTAATTGCTTTCAATAAATGAAAGACTTCCAATTCGTTCACTTGAAAAGAGGAATAATTATCAAAGGGGGGAAGGGTTGACAGTGGATTGAAGGAGTTCATGGGCTCCAAAAAGGCGTTATTAATTAAATTCGCAATGTCAGGACGTTGCATATTCTCGATATCGTCTAAATGAAGTTGACTACATAGGTCATCGGAGCCGGTTGTACACGTAGGTACCATACCAGCAATCTGCTTCACCTCCTTCCACCATCTCTTCGGTTTGGTCGATTTAAGATTCTTTACTTTTGAAGAGTAGAATTTCGCCCGGCATGTCTTTCGCTCGCGGTTAACCCGATTCCGGTAATACTTGAACTGAAAGGTATTTCCACTGCAGAAGGCAGCTTGACGCTTCCTTATAAGCTCTTTAAATTCTGCAGTAATCCATGGAGGATCGTGTACATGCAAAGCCGTTTTCTTTATTGGCATAATGGTGCTAATACCGAGACGTACTAACTCTTCGAAATACTGGAGTTTCATTTCGCATGTGTCAAAATGATTCAGAGAGGACCAATCGATAGATGTAAGGTATCTTCCAAGCTCATGCCTTTTACTAGATCGTAAATCTCTACTAGAGATAATTCTTCTACTGCATGACTTGGGTTCTCTTTTGCAAGGATTGACAATCACAACATTATGATCTGAAAGACCAAATGGCGGAAATTTTTCGACAGAGTTCTTATCATAAAACGAATGTAAGTTGGTTATTATTAGATCCAAAGTCTGGTTGGCCCTTGTGGAAACGTTAACAATCTGTTTGCAACTGAACTGTGTTAATATCCGATTGCATTTTAACCGATTAAAGTCGCCTGCAAGAATAAACCCACAGCCAGGATAGGTGCTTTCAATAGTAATCAGTAATGTGGAGAGAAATTGGAGCATTTCATCATCATTAGCATTAGGTGGATGGTAAACGACACCAAGTATCAAGCAGGAAAACCCGCGGGGAAGTCTACTTGGACGAAAAAAGACCCACAGAACTTCGTAATCTGTATGGTGGAGATGATTCAGAGGCTTATAAAATATCGTGTTCCTGATGTACACCCCAACCCCTCCGTGGGAGCCCACACTACGGTTTTTATGAACAAAATTGTAACCTGGAATATCGAGGCAGGAATCTGAGATACGGTCGTTTAGCCATGTTTCCGTTATACAGGCAAGGTCAGGACTCTTTTCTGTGACAAAACAACTCACTTCATCAATTTTGGGAGCTAATGACATCGTATTTGTCAATAGTAGTTTCGGAACGTAGAAATGGCCATTAGCATTGGAAATAACAGTTTTATTAATGTTAATTTGAATAATATTATTTAAATTACGTTGTCCGCGATGAATTGAAGTAGGGCGACCTGATAGGGAAAAATCATGTTCTAGTAATATTTCGTTATATTTCCCAGCATCCACCCGTACTTGACTTTCGATATCCATGTACTTGGTGACCGTTCCGAAAAGGGGTTTGGTTCCATCGATAGGAAGAGAGGTAATGACGGTGCTCCGTTCTCCGCCCGGTCCGATGTTATGTTCTCGGTTAACCAAATTACAGCCGACCGTAATGTATCGCAGACCTTCGTGGATGTCCACGGGACGGTCGCAGTCGTGAGGAGTGTATGTAGGACCTTTGGAGGAGCGGTATCCTAAGATTCCTGTGAGATTCCGAAATTCCACCGTCTTCGTTCCACTGCCGCGATCGATCCTTATCTTTCCGGACGGATACTCCTTGACGGTTAATCCATTTTCCTCAATCTTTTTCTTCAGCTGTTTGAACGTCCAATATCCTCCCTCCAACACTACTTTTGATCCGTCCACGGAAAAGTAGTCGTTGTAGTCGTCGCGGATACTTTTGTATTTCCAAAATACGGGAGCAGTTTTCACGAACAGTCTGGAATTGGGGGTGAGAACTAGTGGATCCTGCCGGGACAGCGTTGTCTGATCTCCTGTAATGTAAGTCGTTATCTTCTTCATCCTGTTTTTATTTATCAGTAATAAACTGAAGCATAATAATGTCACTTCAACTAGACATGGAACTTAGAGAAATTTATTTTAATGTGAACGGTGGGTACATGTCAATGGAAAAATTATACCGAAAAGCAAAGGAGGAATGTGTACCTGGTAAGGTGTACCAGCAGGGAGAAGGTAAAGGAATGGTTACAAACACAAAACACTTACATCATCCACAAACCATCCCGAAAACACTACAAAACCCAAAGGACCTTCGTAGACGGATTAGCACAACAAATCCAAACTATAAGAACAAAGACAACCGCTGTATTCTAATACCACAAAATAACACAAAGGTCTGGGTGGATGTACTTCCTGCTTTCGTGAAGTCCTGCAAAAATTCGACACACAGAACAATCCAAATGAGACCTGCAGATGTTTAACGAGGAAAACAAGGACGAAGTCTGGACGAGGGTTTATGGATACCCTCTGAGCACATTCCCAAAACCCAAATTTAAAGTGGATGATCATGTCAAAGTGGAGGTAAAACATAAAACATTCGAAAAAGGATATGAACCTAATTTCGACAACGAGCTGTATGTTATCACAGCGGTGCCCCGCGGAGATCCGAATATGTATAGTCTTAAAGATCCGGAAGATGGAGAAGACATCATCGGGAGATATTACGAACAGGAATTATCTTTGGACTTAAATAAAACGGAGAATGGAAACAGAAATGAATGACATTTTTAACGAGCGACCGGAAGGTGAAGAAGGGGAAAAGGAAGCCGAAGCATCATTTATCAAAGACAACGACGATGAAAGTTTTAATGATCTTCTAAATAACCCCGATCAAAACTTAGACGAAGCAATGATGGCCAGTTTCCGTGAGGAGAACGAGGACGACACGTACAGGAGGAGGAAAGAGCAGATGAATAAACTGTACTTAACCGGAAGATTCAATGACATAAAGGGGGAGTTCGCCAGAAACGTGTTAGGTAGCGAATATCGAATAGATCCGACCGATGGACAGGATTCCATGGAATTTATTTCCCGTTTGGACATAACTAAACATCAGCCGTGACATTTGACGGAACTATTGTGGGATACGTTGGTATGGATGGTGCGTTCAAATTATCTGAGAATAAAAATTCTGCTGGGTTTGTGACAGAATTTAAAAAGCTGTACGAAAAAGCACGAATAGAACATCGCGGTAAGGTTGTGAGCGTGATGGAAGAGGAAACTGGAGGGAGAAAACAGGTTCGCAATCGCTGGAGAAGCTGGTAGTCTAGGACCTGTATAGGAGTTTGTATGCGTTTCATTTACCACAGATAATCTCAACTGTTTTAGGGTAAAATAACCATGGCGGTCAACATGGCATATGTGCTAAAACCATAATCCGGGACGAAAGTCCTGAAATGACCCCGCCCTGAAACGGCAGTGCCGACATAGCTCTAACTTCCGAATAGCAAAAGCGGCAGCCTTGCTGAAGTGCTGGTTATTGGAAGGAAGAATTTGTCTAAGTATAATATTTTACAAGAAAATGGCCATGTACCACCCCAGGTCAACTGCTAATTGTGCATAAAATAGCTTATATACCTGGAAGAAATTAAATTTTCTTATTTCCTGAAAAAATGTACTTCATTTAATATAATTATTAATTTAATATAATTATTTTAGATTTCATAAGGATTGCCATTGTTTTCTATAAATATAATACATTTTATTTCACTTACCCCCTTCCCCCCCCTCCCCCCCGAAAACACGATTTCAGTTATATTTTGCCGTCTTGTTTGCTTTTTATCGTCGAATCTCGAAAATATCATCCAGTTGTTGTACTTTTACATAATGATAAATGGCTAAAGAAGATTTCAACCAAGTTTCATCAAGTTTTGAAACAGTGCAGTGTATTTTATCTTCGATATTGTGTCCTTCGATATTTCGTCAAATCTCCGCCATTTTAATGGCTCGCCGCTTCTCTGCCCGATAAATGCCACTTCTTCGTCTTCATATGTATTTACATTACAGTATCCAAGAGTACTTCATTATAGAATAGTCCCAATCGAAAATTTGAAAACATTAGCTGCACTTGAAAGGAAAAAACCTCTCATAACACTTGTTGTATCAGAATCCAAAAGAAGTAAATAAATTGAAAAGTCATGCGCAAGTTCGCGAAAACTCCGGTCTTATTCCATTGAAATGTTGGACAAATTAGGAAAATATTCTCAAATCTACCGCGAAAGGTAGTCCTCAGCTCTCGAATAAGGTAGTGAGTTTTCCGCAGGCCGTCATTCCTACGATAATCATATTAAATGGCATTTTATTTTTAAATAAAAACACTGAAAACGATGAACAACGGAGATAAAAAAGAATCCAAAAAGGAGAATAAAAATAAAGTTAACATCGGCGTAAAAGTAAGCAGGGGTGAACTATCCCTTGGTGCAAATGCAAAAGTCGAGTTCAACAGCTCTAATGTGAGGAACTACAGATATATGAACAAGGGCTAGTGCTGTCCAAAACTAGCTGAACAAAAGCCGAAACCCAAACCGAAACTTGAGTTGGAAGGAAAACAGAAGCCGAAACAAAAACCAAGATGAAACGATCCAAAATAAAATGGGATGTCTATCAACAAAACCTGCCGACGTGGTAGAAAAATATAACAACTGAAACCATAAGAAGAGAAAAATGTTCAGCTTCGGCATCGGTATCGAAAGGGGTGACATCACTATGAACGCTCACACACAGATCGGATACGTAAGTGCAACGATAAAAAAATATGACAAAACAAGTGATAACACCGCGACTGGTGAGGTTGTGCCTAATCTGTTGCCTGTTGATTCCGATAACGGCTGAGATCCTTCTTATCGTAGTCATCGGAAAACTGCTGTATGGATTTTAAGATTCGCAAGAACATTACAATCAGAACTAATCATCAATTAATGAGCTTATTCAACCAATCCCCTGCCAACCTACACAACAACGTCAAACTTCGTATATTGTACCAAACCCCATCACACCTGAACTTCGGTAACTCCTTACCAAGAATAACAAGCCTATCACCATCAAGTGAGGGAAATCGTTGGCCTTTCGCTGCCTCAAAAAGAATTTCTTTCGAGATAAGATCCTTAACAGTTTTGTCGTTGTCGTAACTCATGGTTGTTGTTTTTTTATTTACTAGGGGAAACTTTGTCTTTGAACTAATTTTCAGATTCGCAATGAACATGAAAAATACTCTAAATAATCATTTCCTTCAGTTCATCCGCTATCCTAACAATCTCCTCATACGCAGCTTCCTCCTCCTCCATCTCACGTTCCAAACATTCCTCCTCCGTTTCCGCCCAAATCTCCATCCCTTCCATTCTCTGAAAAGACTCATCCTCTTCCAATTCCATTTCCAACCGTCTTCTCTTCCACTCATCCTCCGCCACCAGTTCCTCCCTCCGCTCCCTCCAAACTTCTAACAGTTCCACTCTCTCCTCCTCTTCCCCCTCCTCTTCCAACATTATGGTATTACTAGAAAATACATATCATGCAGAAACCCTCGCCTTGCTGACAAAACCATTGCATTTTCCGAACATGAAGTATCTAAAGTAGTTGTCATGGTAACACGACAATTTTTTAAGAATATTTTTACAAATGAAAAACTGCCTAAAAATATCACTTTTAATTACAAAATTATCAATTTCCCAACATTTATATGTTAGGTATGTTATTATACGTACTATAAGTTTCAATTTAAGGTAAAATTCAACCACAAACGCTTCGCAAAACGTTTTAAAGTGTTCTTTATAAAACTAATATAAACTGCCTTTATAAATTAAATGCCAAAATGGCTTTTAAATATCGATAAACTTTGAGTTTGCACTAAAATGATTTCAAATTCTAGCATGCAAATAACTTTGCTTTCTTTTTTATTTAAAAAATTCAATATAATAAAAAAGGGATCCGGAATCAATATTAAAGATACACTGAAATTATATGCTGTCTTGTTTAATAGTTGTTTCATATACGCAAAGGCCGTCGGGTTTTAAAGCAATTATAAAATCAATATTTAAAATAAACTTACCTTCGTTAACGGCGGCTCCTTCTTTTAGCTGATTCTTTCGCCCTTTCTTTCTGAGAAGCTTTTGAAATTTACAAAATCTTGCAAAAATGCGAGCAAAAATGAAATATATTTGCAAGAAATTTATCAATCATCAAATTGATCAAATCAAGAAATGTTTGCTATTTCGCTGTCGTCTTGCAGTCGTTATAATGCAAACTTTAAATTGGACCAATCAGTGTCCGCTATTCATGACAGTCCGCCATATTTTTGAGATCAGTGAGGATGACCACCCACCGAAACATCGTTGGTGAGCCACGCCCGCGCTCATTGATGAACTTTAGACTTCGCTAATGCTTTCGTTTCCCCGGGTGTAAATAGCCGGGGGGAATTAGTACCCTCGCACGGCGCTTCGGGCCGTCGGCTCGGGGATTATACCAAAATCTGTGGGTCTACCTAAATAAGTACGACCCTTCGGATTATCAAGGGAACAGTCAACCACAACAATTCCAGCACACACAGTCACAGATACGAAAATACCCTTCGAACCTCCATTAACATAATCCACCAATCGAATCTCCGCATCTTTCCCCATCCATCCCTTTCCAAATTTAATCCTATGTTCAGCTGATCTACCGCTGAAATAACCAACAGTTGAAACAATCAATGTCATATCCCTATAGTTGATAGCCTCACACATCCTCAAAACCTGATCCATGCATCTTTTCGGGACAGTTAATTCAAGTATAATTGAGCCTTGCGATTTACTCTTCTTCGGAAGTTCATTGTGCTTTTATTTACCATTAGGAAAAGTTGTCTTTAAACTATTGGCCCGTCCATGACGAAGTCAACGGGGACGAAACTAATTCCTGAAATACTCAATATCTTACTCCACCTCGACATCGTAATGTCCCTGTGAGTAATCTTCTTGGAATGGAATGCAAACAAAATAACATTAAACAAATCCTTACATCTCTTGATGGAAAGCGAATATTCCTCAGATTTTTCAGAAATATATGTCTTAATCAGCATCTCACGTGGTGCTTTCTTCCTAATTATATCCTTCCAGACCAGTTGGGTTGGAGGTTCGTGAGGGACCATACGTATTGGAGGAGCCGGTGGTGGAACTTGGATAATGGGTGGAGGAGGAGGAGTGATTCTTCTGAGTTTGCGGAGTTTTTTAGGAATATATTCGCGACGAAGATTTACACTCGTGTCATCACCATAATCTAGGAACAATGTTGGTATATCTTCCTGTGCAAAACATCGGGTGCAGATACGAAAAGTCTCTAGCGTTTCAAAGTACCACCACATCCATCACATTTCTCAGTGGGTGTCTGAATTGGGATATCTTCATACCGTCTTGCTATCCTTAGAAAACGTTGGATCAGGTCGTCGTTCGGTTTTTCTTTGTGTAATTCTGCGATTATGGGAAGAGTTCGGACGATATACATCCTCAGCTCCCTCTTATTCCCAGATAGTTTCTTAAGTATTCTTTCATTTATCTCCGTAATGTTAACCATATATTTCTTTATTATCTATTTTATTATTTTTTTTCCAGAAATAGTTAAACTAGTTCCACCTCTGATCATAACATCTCCAACGCTCCTCGTCCAAAATCTCCTTCTCCCACAAACGGACTCCATCACCCTCTTGCTTTTCAGCCTAGCACAACTCCCATCGTAAATCATCTGGCCTATGCGATTCACATGATCCACAGGTGGTTTAACATCAAGACATCGCAACTTCTCACCAACACGCTGTCTGTATAAATGATCACTCACAAGTTCAGCCGTAGCATTCATGCTCTCTACCATTTCCGGATGAAGGAGTGAGCTCCTACTGCGAACAACCCGCATTTCCCGTAAAACGCTCAGATTTATCTCCTCACAGGCGTCCGTTTCACAGTCCACCGGAATATTTGTCGTTAACACACAGTCTCTAATGTCAAAAGCACTGTTTGCCATAACCGGAAAGCAAACGACAAAGCCGGTACCAAAAATATTCTGTCAAAAATAACATGCACGAAGCACGAATCTTTATAACAGGGTGATTTTAGTTCGGTTCAGAATTATCTCACGACCATTGTGAGAGATTTTTGCTGCGCTGGGACCCGATTCGTTCTGATAGTACAATAAATACAATTAATTATTTATCTTCTGTAATCAGTGGCAAATACTGCAATTTCATTGGTTTACAGGAGTGCGATTTGAGCATTAATCGCACCTTTTCTGAGCTGTAATCGCACTCTTGTCTACAGCCAATGAAAATCAGTCTAGTATTTACAACTAGCCAATCAGCATTCAGGATACAAACTTTGAATTTTATTTTCTTTATTGCTGTAAAAAATTTCAAAATGGAGGAATTCACAAATTTTGACCTTTTAATTTTAAATCAGCCCTCGAAAACCGTCAAAATTGAGGTCGGAAAAAAAAATGCCGACCTAAACCTGACCTAGCTCGGTACATCTCGGCATTTTTTAAAATCTGTTTCCATGTCTTGGAGCACTAGTAGCCTGCACTAGTAATCACATATTTACGAATCATTGAAAAGTATAAATGTCACGAAGCCTTTTCTTTTAGAGTTTTACCTAAATTATATCATAAATATACCCGTTAATTCTTAAACCTTACACCAAAGTGCATCGAATTCTAAAATCGCTGACTTTTTAACAGCTATAAGCACCAAAAAAGATTATTACTTTGGCTGAATTAAGGTCGGCAAAACATTGCCGACAAACATTGCCGACATGGGAGGTTGATAGGTCGGCATTTTAATACTGTAGGTCGGCATTGCCGAATGCAGATCTCGTTTTCGAGGGTTGTTAAATTATATATTTTCTGACGAAAATGACCTACCTGTTCATCCAGCAGAAGGCACCGAACTAAACACAACCAGGAGTTATATTCAATCCAATTCAGATGATTAATTGGACTAAAGAACTTCACTATTTTGAACACGTTATAAACATACAAACATGGCTTCCCAATTGTGTGTTGAATAATTCAAACAAATGTTGTCATGTGATTATACCGGAAATAATGCCCGGAAGTTAATAATATGTTAATTTGATTATATATGATAAACAATAATTCAAAATTGTACGATTTCACTAAGAATTGTCGTGACAAAAATTTAATAATTATATTGAACTTCAACAAATTGTATTTTTCTGCTTTTCCCCCTTAAACAGTTTGATTACAGAAGATAAATAATTAATAAGTAATAGAACGAATTAAAGTCGTACTATTAATGCCATAATCATACTCGTGATTAACAAATCAACCTCCCGCTACGCGGTCGGTTGATTTTGTAATCACTCGTATGATTATGGCATTAATAGGACTCCTATTCGTTCTATTACCATCATATATTTTCCGAATCACCCCACCGGCACCGTACGTTCTCGAATAGTTTTAGTAATTTTACACTTTCTCGAAAAACAAAAAGGAACCTATGCCCTAAGGCATGTTCTGTACTAACAGTAGAGTTAGTTATCTGGGGCCGATTGTATAAAAAAGTGATTAAAGTTAACTATAGTTAGTGGAAACGTCATCCAATAAAAAGCGCGTATTTGAGAGTTAATCACTATTTAACTACAAAATAGTGATTAAAAAAGTGATTAAGAGTTTTATACAATGGCCCCTGGTTATTTCAGCAGCGAACGAAAAAGAGTTAACTATTTTTAACTGCAGTTAGCGCTAACTACGTTTTTATACAACCGGCCCCAGGAGAACCTTTAAAATTTTGAAAACAAATGCCAAAAATGTAGTATTCTACAAATGTTTAAGAAAAAACTAATATTTCCCATTTTCAACCCTTGAATTTCGACTTTCGACCCTCGACCTCGACTTTTGACCCTCGACCTCGACTTTCGAACCTCGACCTATGACCCTCGACCCTCGACCTATAACCCTCGACCCTCGACCATTACCCAAACTCTACTATAACTGGTCAAAATTTGAGCAAAATTGGTTGAAAACACCGAGTCCGCAATTTGAATGAAACTTTAATGTTGATTGGCCAGCTTGAATGTGCTAACTAATGAAGGAGTGTGACCTGTGGAATTTGTATAGGTAATAGCATGGTTTCGAGTGCAATTTGGATATAAGTGCACGAGTGAGTTTTTCAAAGACCTCAAAATAGGACGAGTGCTATTTGAGGTCTTTGAAAAACTCACGAGTGCATGTTTATCCAAATTTCACGAGAAACCATATGTTATTAGTTATTAATAAATTACATAAAAATGTTCGAGACAATTGTAGTTTTAACTTACGCGTTTATAGCGAACATTCCACTGGCAAAGCCGTTTTGTTGGCTTTGTTATATCACATTATACAACGCTAACAGCTTGAAAATTCGACTCAACTATGTAATTTTTGTTAGTCTTGTTTAAGGTAAATACTTTTCCATTTAAAAATAAAGATAAAAGCCATATTTTCCACGCGAAGGCAACTCTTACTTTGTGTAGCGCGGCGCCATGTTTGTTTTGTTTTGAAGCAATCGGTGACGTTACTTCTTTAAACTAAATTGCTTTACACTGATTGGTTGATTTAATCATCACAATGTTTTTCCACCAATCACATCAGTTTGTTACAGATTTTTGCACTAGCCGAACAGGCATGGTAGAAAACCCGGGTAGCGGATAACCGGATAACCGGATAACCGGATAACCGGATAACCGGATAACCGGATAATCGGATAACCGGATAATCGGATAACCGGATAACCGGATAACCGGATAACCGGATAACCGAATAGTATATAGAGATTTTTTCATGGGAAATACTTACGTGTGGTATTTACGCACGCGTTATAATCTGTTTTCGCAAATTAAACGAACGAGCGAGTGCAAAATTTGTTCTTCATAGACGATACAGAGTTTATTTATATTACACAGCGAAAAATATAAAGGTTTATATGTTTCATAAAGCGAGACAATCAGATAAACAAAGTCGTGTCGTACAAAAATACATCGGAAAATACAAATTTTTCAGTATTAATGAACAGGAAAGGAAATATCAATTTATTATTATTATTTACAAATATTTTAAAACGGTAGCTCTTCAGAACACCTATGATCCGTTTTTCAAGAGGCCGTTTAAACTAATATTTACAAAGTTTAATAAAAATTACATCTAAAATATAATATAATATAAATTATCACACAGTTAAAGTCTAAGAGAATATATACAAAATATTGTGTCCCATCGTCATTTCTTTTGAATCTCATTTGGCAAATTATTCCAGCATTTTGCCCCTGAGTAGCTAATACTTTTTTTGAGGAAATTAGTCTTAGGTTTATCCAGTTGAAAATTAATTCCGTTATTTCTAAGGTCATATTTTTCATTATTAGTAGGCCTTTCCCGATTGCGCTGAGCACTTTTTGAGCACTTTTTTTTGTTTGGAGCACCATTTTGCATGTTGAGCAACGTTGAGCACTTTTTTTTCGCACTTTGGGCAACATTTGAGCAATATTTCACATTTCGAGCGAATTTTGAGCAACAAAAAGTCAGCGATTATAGAATTCGATTCGTACCTCGATTAACTAAACATACAGTTCGAAGTAAGGTTTAAAAATTGACGGGTATTATACTATTATTTTATATATAATTTAGGTATAACTCCAAAAGAAAAGCCGTACAGCTGCATATGACATTACAGTTAAAAAATTAGAACGCTGACTTTTTCGAGTTTTTTTTTTTGTCGTAAACAACTCCATATACGGAAGTTTGTTCCATATATGGAGAAAGACGTGGAAACAGATTTTAAAAAATGCTGATTTTAAAAAATTTACGAAAATCTTAGAGGTAACTGTTCACAATTTTAGCACTTTTTGAGCACTATTTTGAGATTTTGAGCCGACTTTTTGAGCACTTTTTAGCCATTTTTGCCAGCACTTTTTTAGGATTTTACCAGCGCATTAAAGTAAAATTCAAAATATTAAAGTAACAACAGTTGATTGGCTTCCTTGTTTTTACCGACTTAGCTACTCTTGAAGTGCAAAGGATAATTTTCAATTCCCGTTAGAAGTTGGTATTTTTAATAGCATCACTTTAATACAGACAGTTCTTTAATATTGATCCTTTCTCACACGAAATATTTTATAAAAAACCTGGTAAAAAAGCTTTTATAGCGCGTGATAATATAAACCTTTCACTCAATTAAAATGACAAAAATACAAACAAGTTAGAGTTATAGACCATGCATGTATTATAAAGTTGGTATATATAAATGATGTTTCAACGCATGCATGTGTGTCTATTCGTTCATGTTTAAACTGTAAATTAAACTGACACTCAGTGAGGGAATTTTAGTACGAGTAAAAATCCTACGACTCTATCCGCGTTTTCGCTCGAGTTTTCGCTTGCTCTGAGATTCAATATTGTTGGCCGTCTATAATATGGCATAGCATACCGAGCATACTAGCCTACATATAAGAAGGTCGCACACGACGACGCGGTCATAGGCGTACCGGGCAGGGGGGGCGGTAGCCCCCCCAGCTTTTGGGCAGTCGGGCAATATTCGATCAACAGTCGGGCAATTTTGGCTTGCAATAAAAAAAATGGGACAAATTCTGTCAATTTTGTCTAAAATTAAGTCAATTTTGTCTAAAATTAAGTCAATTTTTTGGCAAATTTTGCGATTTTTCGAAAATTTGTGTTATGTTGCGAAAAAAATTGGTTGTCCGGAAAAATTTTTTTGACGCCTAAAATGGTACACTGACCGAAATTTTTTTGGCGACGGGGGGAGGGGGGGAGGAGGTCGCCAAAATAATTTTTCCGGAAAAATTTTTTTGATACTAGTCGGGCAGAAATCGAAAAGTCGGGCAATTTTCTTTCCGCCCCCCTAATTTTTTCCTTCCGGTACGCCCATGGACGCGGTACTAGGCTATATGTCCTGACTCCTATATATATCATTATGGAGGTACTGACACAGTATAGGCTATAGCACGAAAGATTGCATACACTACAAATTATTCTCTTTTAGGCGGATGCGCCAGTTTTATATTTATAAACAACAAGTTGATCTTCTGCTGACATGTTTGTATTGAATCAAAAGGTTTTTTATAAAATATTTCGTGTGAGAAAGGATCAATATTAAAGAACTGTCTGTATTAAAGTGATGCTATTAAAAATACCAACTTCTAACGAGAATTGAAAATTATCCTTTGCACTTCAAGAGTAGCTAAGTCGGTAAAAACAAGGAAGCCAATCAACTGTTGTTACTTTAATATTTTGAATTTTACTTTAATGCGCTGGTAAAATCCTAAAAAAGTGCTGGCAAAAATGGCTAAAAAGTGCTCAAAAAGTCGGCTCAAAATCTCAAAATAGTGCTCAAAAAGTGCTAAAATTGTGAACAGTTACCTCTAAGATTTTCGTAAATTTTTTAAAATCAGCATTTTTTAAAATCTGTTTCCACGTCTTTCTCCATATATGGAACAAACTTCCGTATATGGAGTTGTTTACGACAAAAAAAAGAGAACTCGAAAAAGTCAGCGTTCTAATTTTTTAACTGTAATGTCATATGCAGCTGTACGGCTTTTCTTTTGGAGTTATACCTAAATTATATATAAAATAATAGTATAATACCCGTCAATTTTTAAACCTTACTTCGAACTGTATGTTTAGTTAATCGAGGTACGAATCGAATTCTATAATCGCTGACTTTTTGTTGCTCAAAATTCGCTCGAAATGTGAAATATTGCTCAAATGTTGCCCAAAGTGCGAAAAAAAAGTGCTCAACGTTGCTCAACATGCAAAATGGTGCTCCAAACAAAAAAAGTGCTCAAAAAGTGCTCAGCGCAATCGGGAAAGGCCTACTAATAATGAAAAATATGACCTTAGAAATAACGGAATTAATTTTCAACTGGATAAACCTAAGACTAATTTCCTCAAAAAAAGTATTAGCTACTCAGGGGCAAAATGCTGGAATAATTTGCCAAATGAGATTCAAAAGAAATGACGATGGGACACAATATTTTGTATATATTCTCTTAGACTTTAACTGTGTGATAATTTATATTATATTATATTTTAGATGTAATTTTTATTAAACTTTGTAAATATTAGTTTAAACGGCCTCTTGAAAAACGGATCATAGGTGTTCTGAAGAGCTACCGTTTTAAAATATTTGTAAATAATAATAATAAATTGATATTTCCTTTCCTGTTCATTAATACTGAAAAATTTGTATTTTCCGATGTATTTTTGTACGACACGACTTTGTTTATCTGATTGTCTCGCTTTATGAAACATATAAACCTTTATATTTTTCGCTGTGTAATATAAATAAACTCTGTATCGTCTATGAAGAACAAATTTTGCACTCGCTCGTTCGTTTAATTTGCGAAAACAGATTATAACGCGTGCGTAAATACCACACGTAAGTATTTCCCATGAAAAAATCTCTATATACTATTCGGTTATCCGGTTATCCGGTTATCCGGTTATCCGATTATCCGGTTATCCGGTTATCCGGTTATCCGGTTATCCGGTTATCCGGGTTATCCGGTTATCCGGTTATCCGCTACCCGGGTTTTCTACCATGCCTGGGATTAGTTTTAAAAATAGCTCGGTCAAGGCGAAAATTAATATAAAGGTCAAACGCACGTAACAAATTCCATTATCGATTTCTTCGAATTTCTTTTCTTTTATGCTTTATGGAAGAAAATAAATCAAACAAACAGTATTTTGAAAGGGCTTCATCAAAATCTTTGACGAATTTTGGACACACACGACGCTGAAAGAACAGCCAAACTAGTCCTGTATTCGAAAGCTTGTTGTTGACAGCCAAGATGTTCTGCCAACTTGCTTCGCCGGCAAAAGTCTTATTTTTAATATCAGGTCCTACCGGCGTTGTTTTCTGAGCTACATCGCCTTCTTCGTGGTATGATTGAGAATTTAATTGTTGCTGTTATTAGCCCGTTAGTCGTTAGAGTATATCCGCGTCCAGCAAGTTGAGACCTTGAGAAAGCTTGGCAGTCAAGCCGTGCACAGAACTGACTAATTAAATCTTTGTTTGCTGTTCGCCTGTTCGGTTAAATAGAGAAACTGACTCTTAATTATATAAAAGTACCTTGAATTTTAAGTTTAATTAAAAAGCAAAATGCTCTGCGGACATGTTCATGAGAATATAATTTTTTTGTGTAACGAAATCTACAACACTTGTCAATCATATTGCATGTGTGTCTAAAAATAACATGTGGGCGTCTCACGGTCTAGACAGGTTTTGTGTCAGGCCCTATTTCAAATTAGGGCCTGAACTTCAGGTTATGTCAGGCCGTACTTTTCTCCCCTTTGCCCACGATCAGGCGTGCCTGTGCCCTAAAAAGTACGGCCTGATACTCAGGTTACTTCAACTGCGTCTGACACACCGGTTATTGTCTTCAATTTCTGCCTGATGTTGGCATATTAGTTCGAGCGAGCTGACTACTATATCCTTGCAGGTCTTGGAAAACAGCTCGGCAATAAACTGATAAATATTAAAGGCTTCAGCTTTTTAGAACTAAGTATTTGAAAATTTCCGACATCCACATATTTTCGTTCTACGGCGACTATTACGGCGAGATATTTAGACACGCTTTCTACTATGACTATGTAGTTTTAGTTTTATACCGAGTAAAATGTTGCTGCAAAAGCGTTTTCAACGTCTTTTCGTACTTATTTTGTCATTCTTAGGCTTAATTGAAAATAAATTTCAGAAATAAAGCACTTTTAACAGTATATTGACAAAATTACAAATTCTATTTTTGGTGTTTACATACGCCGGTCATATATTTCCGGTTTGAATCACATGATGCGTTTTATCGTCTCTTAGCCAATCAGCATAACATCCAGATTCTGGATGTTGAACATGGCTTTTGAGGCGATTCGTGTCAGGCCCTCTTTCAATACCGAGGGCCTGATACTCAGGTTAGGACACGCCCCTCGGGTTGTATCTCGCTAAGAAACCTAGTTCTCGGTAATTAACTCTTACTTGAATTGTTGGCATAAGATTGCAGATTTCATAAAACCTTTAACCCATTAAGCTGCAGAGCTTTCCCACTGACGAGTAAAATGGTTTGGCATTAAACAAGTAAAAATATAGGGCGCAATGGGTTAAATTCAAAGTTCTTTGTTAATAATAATGACTTTATTGTAGAATCCATAAAAATGGCTCTTCCTCTACAAATATACTTAATATAAATTATCCAACCCTATTTAATTATCCAAGCTATTACAGTGAAAATACAAAAAGTGTCCCACTTCCGCTTCTGTTGTTTGTTGTGATTTACTGTAATTTGTTCTGTTTTTCTGTAGCGATTACCGCGATTTATTGCCAAATACCGCGATAAAATTTAAATTTCGTTCCTTTTATGCAATGAAACTAACGAAAAATGCATTATTTCCCTTTGCTACAAATTATCATATTTAAAAATAGAAAAAACTAAGTTTTATCGCGGTATTTGGCAATAAATCGCGGTAATCGCTACAGAAAAACAGAACAAATTACAGTAAATCACAACAAACTACAGAAGCGGAAGTGGGACACTTTTTGTATTTTCACTGTAAATATATTATCCTACCCTAACAATGCTGTATATTATCCAACATTAATAGTGTATAAAATTTATAAGATTAATTACTTCTGTTCAATTAAAAAATCTTTAGTTAATTTAGTAAAAGTGTTAAAATCCTTGCAGTTTCTAATGTGAATTGGCAAAGAATTAAAAAGTTTTGAGGCGTTGTCCTGAAAAGTTTTGTTCTCTAATGGTACTTTTAAACAAATGCTGCCTTGCGACCGAAGGTTTCTTTCGTTTACGGACTGTTCTAAACTTAGATATTGAGGCCAGTTAGGAAAATGAATTGCTTTAAAAGTTTGTTGTAGGAGGTGCAAGTTTCTTCTTTCTTTCATGGGGAGCCATCCGACCTTTTCAAGATTTTCCCAGTCTTTAACGTATTTCCCTAGGACGAAGCTTGCTGCGGCATTTTGGCATTTCTGGAGCCGCTTCAAATCTACATTTGTCAATGGATAGAATTAAGACTGTGTCGCCGTAGTCCAGTTTCGACAGGACAAGTGATTCTGCCAAGGTCTTACGCAAATTATACGGGGCCAGGTGTTTCAGCTTCCTCAATACTGCAATTGTAGCATAACAGGAAGCTGTAGTATATTACTGGAGATTTGTTGCGTTAAATTTTCTTGATTTATCTAATGCATGAATGGAAAAAGTACGATAAAAATAATATCTTCGTGAAAAAATGCGTTTTTAGCACATTTTATGACCCACGACTTTACCCACGACACACGACTTTTGACACACGACATTTAGGGACACTCACGTATGAAGTTTTTTAGCGGACAAAATATCTTAAATGTATCAATCGAGTTTATGCGCTATAAATTGATGTTATGTGCTATACATTGATGTTATGTGCAAATACATCGATGTCATAAACCGATACAAAACTAAAAGATAAACCGATACAACTAAAAGATAAACCGATACAAATAAAAGATGGAGGAAACGGAAATAAATACCAATAAAAGATGAGGAAACGGAAGTAAATACCAATAAAAGATGAGGAAGCGGAAGTAAATCGGAAAAACGGAAGTTGAACCGATACAACTAAAAGATAAACCGATACAAATAAAAGATGAGGAAACGGAAATAAATACCAATAAAAGATGAGGAAACGGAAGTAAATACCAATAAAAGATGAGGAAGCGGAAGTAAATCGGAAAAACGGAAGTTGAGCGACGCGGCGACATACAACAATGGCGTCTCTTGGACCACGCATTTGGCTTCCTAAATTAGAAAACTCTTTTCGTGAATTGGTTGATTTAATGCTGAACAAAGTCGCACTCATTGTGACTCGCCAGACTTTTATTGTCGTAGATTAGAAGAGTATGAACGCACATTGAGTGTTTTAACAACAAGAATCACCGAATCTTAATACACAACGGAGCAGTTTTTAATCAACAATCTACATAAACTATGTACTTATTTAAATAGTTTACGAAATGAATTGGACGTTATTGTTGAAAATTATGAACGGACGTCAGAGCGCTTTTCACTAGAAGAGTCTTACGATCGTGCGGTTTGTACGGCGGAAAGAAACGGGCTCGTTGGTAGGCCAAGAATACAAGTCACAGAAGAGCAGTTAACCACATAAGTCAATGCCACAATATGCCAAGTGTGAAATATGATGGTGTGATGGCCTCGTGTTGTTGGCACAATTTATGCTTGTGAAAATAATGTTGTATTTGATAAGCCTGAGAATAAAGTATAAAAAACCACTTGTATATGTCACCGTCACCGCGCTAGCCTGCGAACAGGCTCTCAAGCTGAATTGAGAGCCTGCATCGATGACTAATGAATTTGAATATCTGCGTCTCAAATCGTGACGCGAAATTCTCATTGGTCAGATGCTATAATTTATATGTTTCCGTTGAGCTCTATATATGTCAACTGCTGAAGCACTATGCATAAAAAACACATTAACTGATCAAATTGGTCTTGGCCATCTTATCTCAAAGCACGAAATGTTCTGTTTTGAGAAAACAGTATTTAAAACATTTGAACTTTTGCTTTAATATCTTATATTTCGAAAAACAGTATAAACTGTACGGTCTAAATTTAGTTTGCACGGTCTAAATTTAGTTTGCACGAAAGTTATAAACAACTCCAAATAAGGACAGACATTCCATATTTGGAAAAACGAACGTTACGGGGCAGATATTCAAATTCATTAGTCATCGATGCAGGCTCTCAATTCAGCTTGAGAGTCTGTTCGCAGGCTATCACCGCGCTTAAGTCACCGCGCTTAAGATAGACTGAACAAAATCTTTTCGTCACCACGCTTAAGATAGACTGAACAAAATCCTGAACATTTGGTATTCTGCCCTGTCTCTCTTACACAAACCGCACGATCGTAAGACTCTTCTAGTGAAAAGCGCTCTGAGGTCCGTTCATAATTTTCAACAATAACGTCCAATTCATTTCGCAAACTATTTAAATAAGTACATAGTATATTGTAGATTGTTGATTAAAAACTGCTCAGTTGTTTATGATTCGGTGATTCTTGTTGTTAAAACCGACTCAATGTTGCGTTTATACTCTTCTAATCTACGACAATAAAATCCTTGCATAAAAATCAGCATTTCTTATTAAATCAACCAATTCACGAAAAGAGTTTTCTGTATTAGGAAGCCAAATGCGTGGTCCAAGAGACGCCATTGTTGTACGTCGCCGCGTCGCTCAACTTCCGTTTTTTCGATTTACTTCCGCTTCCTCATCTTTTATTGGTATTTGCTTCCGTTTCCTCATCTTTTATTGGTATTTACTTCCGTTTCCTCATCTTTTATTTGTATCGGTTTATCTTTTAGTTGTATCGGTTTATCTTTTAGTTGTATCGGTTTATGACATCGATGTATTTGCACATAACATCAATGTATAGCACATAACATCAATTTATAGCGCATAAACTCGATTGATACATTTCAGATATTTTGTCCGCTAAAAAACTTCATATACTCACGTGAGATGCTTGGGGAGATGAATGCCAAGTAGTTTGTAGCACTCGACACGTTGGATATCGGTGTTATTAACAGACACTTCCAGAGGGACACTGTCTAGGTTGTGTTTTCTGGCTAACTGCGTTGTATATATAATATTTAATACTAGATTTCTAAACATTTTTATTTATTGTAAGATCTAAAAGCATCGTAATTTATATTGAACTCGTCCAATCAATTATGTCACCACTAAAACTTTTGTCTGATAGTTGTATTGCCCTGATACTTGCATATTCTGATCTTCCTATATTATCCAATATTATCACCAGTCACCATATTATCAGCAAATTGTCCAGAATATGTGTTGACATGGTTGTTTGAAGTACAGTAGATGTCAGTCATGCATCACTATGATTTTGAATTGTGCTTTTATCTGCAAATGAAATATTGTAAAAGATGCACATAATGCAGGTATATAATTTAAACAACATTTAACTCTAGCTATAAAGTACGAACATATGCTACTCAATTGACATTGACTCAGCACAATGGCTGTGTGTTTGCTTTCTCATATACCGTCACAACTGCAAGGGCAGTGTTGTATGGTGATTGCACTGATCTTCAGGGACGTAGCAAAGCATCTGACTTTGGCAGGGGGGGGAGAAACTTTACCTGAAATCTGAACATCAATGTTAAAAATCTACAGTGAAGTATAATACTTATATAATAGAGGTTTTTCTGATTGATTTCCACTGTGACACTTAAGCCTAAGAAAAGGGGGTGCGGGGAGTCCTCCCCCAGATTTTACATTTTTGAAGCTCCACCACTGCATTTCTGGTGTTTTCTAAAGCACATTTGCAAACAAATTGGATCTAAATTGACTGTATCAAAAATGGCTATCATTTCACAAAAATAACAACTTTATTAATTATATGCAAATTTTACCTGAAAATGTCAAAATTATAGAGTTTCACAGTGGGGTTTACACCCCCAAACCCTTTGTCGATCACTACGTCCCTGCTGATCTTAGATTCCTGGTTAAGTCTAATGAATGTAAACAGACCAGTTCCCTTAGAGTTCACTGAAACAGACTGAGCTTCCATTGAACATAAAAGACTATAGTAATATAAAATAATCCAGCCTGTTTTCTGTGTAAATTGTAGTTTTATAATTAATACTGTGTAAATTGTAGTTGTATAATTGTAGTTTTATAGGGGAGTTGTAGTATATGCCAGCAATGGGCTTGCTTCTTATAAATTTACCCACATAATGATATATTAAAATTCAAGATCTGTGCAAGCACGTCTGATTATAAAACAGTATTTATAAACTCACTATGTTTTATATGAAGCGTGATCAAAATCTCTTTGACCAGAATCAGAGTCCACAGCAGATATGAATAGCAAAGACAATGTCAACAATGTTTTAATATGTTATAAAATTAAATGACAGATCTATTCACAAATTTTTATAGGCCTGCCTAAACATAAATATCGATTGAAATAACAAAAATTAACCTACCGTTTGCTGTGAAAAATTTGTTCGAGCATTTCTTCCAGTGTTGCCAACTGTAAATTTGCTATTAAGTTAGGCATCTGCTAGTATTATTAAAGTCTGCCAGTATTATTAAAGTCGCTAAATATCTTTTCTGTGGATATCGTCGCCTCATGCCATGAACGACAGTTTCCGAACTAAGTCGACAATTGGATCACGTTCGACATTGCGACAACGTTCAAAGCACGTCCGAAAATTAATAAAGGCCGGTTTACACGACCAGTGTTTTGGGCACGGCACCCCTAAAAATGGGCACCCGTGCCCAAAATTTTCTGCCTTTTGGTGTGTAAACGTGGCAAAAATCGGCACCGGTGCCGCAAAATTTAAACGTGCCGAGACTTTCTCACGAAATGAAAATAATATGAAAAGTTTGTTTACACTGTTTTCCCCATATGAACACAACTCTAGTTCCCGCTTGGCAGGATAGCTTTCTGTCGTGTCAGTACTGACTTTACAATTCAATTGATATTCAGTGCTATGTCACAGCCGGAAACTTTACCCGGTAAGCGGAATAACATTTCTCCATGCATGTGAACAGAACAAAAGTATATTTGGCTAGTCGAAAAGTTTTCGCGTTAACCGAAATAACCTTTGCCCATATGAACAGGTCCTTTAAGACGAAAGGAGTTGTTTTCTCGCATAAATGTTGTGCCATCTTGTATTCACCCGCCACGAATTCGAGAGGTATGGACGCATCGAACGACAGCTATTTGCTACGACCTAGTTACTGCTCTCTCAGGGGCGTAGGAAGCGGGGGGGCACGGGGGGCACGTGCCCCCCCAAATTTTTTTAAAGGACTAAAAGTGCCCTTTTTTGTGATAAAAAGTGCCCTTTTTGTGTTGAAAAGTGCCCTTTTTTGTGAGGAAAAGTGCCCCTTTTGTAGAAGCTAATGTCGCTGTAAATACTAAATTAAAACAATAGGTGCCGTTTTTGTGTGGAAATTTACAAATTTTTTTAAAAATTAGGTCACAAACATAAATTTCGGTATGATACGACGGAAAATTTTCCTCAGGAGAAATTTCTCTCCCCCCCCCCGTCGACAACATTTCCGGGAAAAATTTTTTAGGTGCCCTTTCCGATAGTAATGTGCCCCTACAAGCCGGTGCCCCCCCAAACTCCAGGTGCTTCCTACGCCCCTGTGCTCTCTTCAGCGACGAACAGTGGTATCAAAATTTCCGAGTCAACTAGAGCAACATTCACATTCTGTGTTATTTAAATTTGTTTTTAACCTTTTTTTTTATTTTTGGCAAGTTGTAGTTTTTCGCCGCTTGCTGCAGCCATGTTGGAAAGAAGACAATTTGTTTTGCGCATGCTCGATGTCGAACACATTTTTATTTTTTTCGAAATTTGGGCACGGCACCCCTTGCTAGACGTGCCGAGACTACCTCGTGAGAAAGTCTCGGCACGTTTAAATTTTGCGGCACCGGTGCCGATTATTGTCACGTTTACACGCCAAAAGGCAGAGGTGCCGTGCCTAAAATTTTGGGCACGGGTGCCCATTTTTAGGGGTGCCGTGCCCAAAACCTAGCAAGGGGTGCCGTGCCCAAATTTCGAAAAAAATAAAAAATGTTTTCGACATCGAGCATGCGCAAAACAAATTGTCTTCTTTCCAACATGGCAGCAAGCGGCGAAAAACTACAACTTGCCAAAAAAAAAGGTTAAAAACAAATTTAAATAACACAGAATGTGAATGTTGCTCTAGTTGACTCGGAAATTTTGATACCACGTACTGTTCGTCGCTGAAGAGAGCAGTAACTAGGTCGTAGCAAATAGCTGTCGTTCGATGCGTCCATACCCACAACATTTATGCGAGAAAACAACTCCTTTCGTCTTAAAGGACCTGTGGTTATTTCGGTTAACGAGAAAACTTTTCCACTAGCCAAATATACTTTTGTTCTGTTCACAAATTGCATGGAGAAATGTTATTCCGCTTACCGGGTAAAGTTTCCGGCTGTGACATAGCACTGAATATCAATTGAATTGTAAAGTCAGTACTGACACGACAGAAAGCTATCCTGCCAAGCGGGAACTAGAGTTGTGTTCATATGGGAAAAACATTATCACTTGACAAGCGAGCTCTCGGTACGTACACAGGAAAACGTTTTGTCTTATATGAACGCAGTGTAAACAAACTTTTCATATTATTTTCATACCAAGGCGAGATCTCGCTTGTGAACTTTTCGAAAAGTTTTTTCACTAACCAGGATAACTTTTGCCCGTATGAACTGGCCCTTAAAGTACGTTCCTAGTATTGAATTGGGTTTTCCCTCGATTTTCAGCTCATATAATATTCTTCTTCGTTCCAATAAATATAAATATACAATTCCATTTCTGGCCGGCATATTTATTCTTTAAAATATACCGTCGTAAACGGAAAATAGAGGTGCCGTTTTCCGATGGGCACGCACTGAATATCAATTGAATTGAATAGATGCTGATACGACAGAAAGTTATCCCGCTAAGCGGTAAAGTTGTGTTCATGCATATGGGAAAAACATTATCCCGGTCACCGAGATCTGGCTTGTCAACAAGCGAGATCTCGGTACACGGAAAAACTTTTTGTCTCATATGAACGCAGTGTAACTTTTCATATTATTTTCATACCAAGGCAAGATCTCGTTTGTAAATTTGTCGAAAAGTTTTCTCGCTAACCGGGATAACTTTTGCCCATATGAGCCTTAAAGTACTTTTCTAGTATTGAACTGGTTTTTCCCCTCGATTTTCGGCTCATATAATACTCTTCTTCGTTCCAATAAATATAAATATATAATTCTATTTCTGTCCGACATATTTATTCTTTAAAATATACCGTCGTAAACGGCGGAAAGTAGAGGTGCCGTTTTCCGATGGGCACGGTGCCTATCATAAAAGTGTGTTTACAAAATGTTGTCGTGTAAACGAGTAAATAGCGAAGTGGCGGTTTTGGCACGGTGCCCATTTTCAGGGGTGCCGTGCCCAAAACGCTTGTCGTGTAAACCGGCCTACTGACACGACAGAAAGCTATCCTGCCAAGCGGGAACTAGAGTTGTGTTCATATGGGGAAAACATTATCACTTGACAAGCGAGAAAACGTTTTGTCTTATATGAACGCAGTGTAAACTAACTTTTCATATTATTTGCATACCAAGGCGAGATCTCGCTTGTAAACTTTTCGAAAAGTTTTTTCACTAACCAGGATAACTTTTGCCCATATGAACTGGCCCTTAAAGTACGTTCCTAATATTGAATTGGTTTTTCCCTCGATTTTCGGCTCATATAATATTCTTCTTCGTTCCAATAAATATAAATATATAATTCTATTTCTATTTCTGGCCGGCATATTCATTCTTTAAAATATACTGTCGTAAACGGAAAATAGAGGTGCCGTTTTCCGATGGGCATGCACTGAATATCAATTGAATTGAAAAGATGCTGATACGACAGAAAGTTATCCCGCTAAGCGGTAAACCGGTTGTGTTCATGCATATGGGAAAAACATTTTCCCGGTCACGGAGATCTGGCTTGTCATGCAACAATATAACAACGATAACTTTTGCCCTTATGAGCTGGCCCTTAAGTACTTTTCTAGTATTGAATTGGTTTTTCCCCTCGATTTTCGGCTCATATAATACTCTTCTTCGTTCCAATAAATATAAATATATAATTCTATTTCTGTCCGACATATTTATTCTTTAAAATATACCGTCGTAAACGGAAAGTAGAGGTGCCGTTTTCCGATGGGCACGGTGCCTATCATAAAAATGTGTTTACAAAATGTTGTCGTGTAAACGAGTAAATAGCGAAGTGGCGGTTTTGGCACGGTGCCCATTTTCAGGGGTGCCGTGCCCAAAACGCTTGTCGTGTAAACCGGCCTAAACGAGGGAACTTCGACGGACTTCGTGCAACTCTAGAGTCGGTTGACCTTTGCGGTGCAGTAGAGTCAGCAGTGGACATTAACCACGGTTGGTTGAAAACTTGAAATGGAAAGAACTATTTCTCAGTGTCACAGAATAGGAAGTTATACCAGAAGCGTAACTCGAGCAAATATTTGTCCGCGTTTTTACAAGCGATTCGTCATCAATCACGCCATCCTGGCTAGTACAACCGGCACTTTGTACCTACCAAATCCTGATAAAAACTTCCGGCTGTACTAGCCAGGATGGCGTGGCCTGACGTGAGCGAGTTAAAAATTTTCGTGGACGTCAAACAATAAGGGAAACGACTAGAGTTACGCTTCTGGTATAACTTCCTATTCTGTGTCAGTGTTGTACGCGACAGTATTCCGATAAAACCATCAGCAACGTCACAGAGTAGATAAGACATACAGAGACGTAACTAGTGTACCCACTTATTTTGTGCGCATGCTCGGCAAGATACTAGATGCATGCATCTGATTGGATGACGACCTGATGACGACTCAATTTAAACTTGCTGAGCACGCGCAGTTGATCATTTTTCGCCCGGTCGCTTGAAAAAAAGTGGGTACATGATAACGTAATCTTCCGCAGTGTTTACAACGGTCAGTTACGTCTCTGTATGTCTTATCTACTCTGTGGCAACGTCAATAATCCGCCTTGGATCAACGGTGAGATAATCCACGCTATCAGGAAAAAGGAGACCGTGCGTCGGAAACTGAAAACATCGCCAACGGACGTAATGAGAAACAAGTTCAAGGCTTTGCGATCCAAGGTGAAACGATTGATCACTGAAAGTCGTTGTCAGTTCTTCCAGAACATCAGCGAAGCTCTCTTCAATAATCCCAAAAGATTCTGGTCTGTCTTTAAAATCAACAGTAACCGTGCCAGTGTTCCAGGATCAATGACAATGGGATCAAATGGATTAGATCCTGACTCGGCCCGCTCAGCTTCATGTCCTCGCGACATAGCAGAACTGTTCAACGACTACTTCTCCTCCATTGTGTCTGGAAGCGACAAAACAACTCAAACGGACAAACCATTCTCGCCAACTGATAGCAACTTGTCAGAGTTAATTGTTTCTCCTGATGATGTTCTAGCTGCATTCCTCAGCCTCGATACCAACAAAGCCACAGGTCCGGATGAAATACCACCAAGAATACTAAAGGAATGTGCTCACCAAATTGCTCCGTCATTATGTCTACTGTTTAATCAATCACTCCGACATGGCTCCTTACCAGAGGAATGGAAGCTCGCGAACATCATCCCTATCCATAAAAAAGGTGACATCTCCAACGTTGAAAACTACCGTCCAATTTCGCTTCTGTGTGTAACATCCAAAGTCCTCGAGCGCTGTGTGCTGAGAAACCTGAGAGATTATCTGATGTCCCTAATTAACTCCGCTCAACATGGTTTCATTCCTGGAAGGTCATGCACAACCCAGCTAGTCGAAGTTTTGCACTACATTGGATCCATTTTAGACTCTGGTAAACAAACCGATATAATCTTCATGGACATGTCAAAGGCTTTTGACAAGGTCAGCCATACAGCTCTGATAAACAAACTCCAACAGTATAACATTGGCGGATCTCTTCTCCAATGGTTCACATCGTATCTACGTGACCGCCAACAGCGCGTGACAACTCTTGGCGCTACTTCTTCCAAAAAACCAGTGTGCTCCGGTGTTCCGCAAGGCAGTATCTTAGGACCAATACTCTTCCTCCTGTATGTGAATGATTTACCAGACGCTGTGACGAACTCGACAGTTGCGTGTTTTGCAGACGACACCAAAATCTTCCGTAGAATTGACTCCATCACCGATGCTATGTTACTCCAGGACGACATCAATAACCTTCAATCCTGCTCCACGTCAAGCGGTCTCGTGTTTAAAGAAGGAAAATGCAAAAGTATTAGCATTACCAGACGTAGTCAACCAATCCATCATCTATATAGCATCAAAGGCAAAGAACTTGCACTTATACCAGCAGAGAACGATCTGGGAATTTGGATTGCGAGCGATCTAACCTGGTCTAAACACATTTTAGACCGGTGTACCAGTGCCAACAAACTCCTTGGATTTATAAAGCGATGTTCTGGGGAAATAAGCGACGCGAGGACCCGCCGGACTCTGTATCTGTCTTTGGTTCGGTCGGTTTTTGGTTACTCGAGCCAGGCTTGGTCGCCTCAAACCGTGACCCTCATCCAACGTATGGAACGGGTCCAAAGAAGAGCAACGAAGTACATTTTAAACCTTCCGTACTTGTGCAGTGAGACTTATCGGGAACGACTTGCCAGTTTGGGTCTCTTACCGCTATCTTACTGGCACGAATATTTGGATCTTGTGTTCTTTTTTAAAGCGGTGAACGGCTTGGTCGACGTGTCCCATGATGTCCTCCCCGAAGTCATGTCCCAAACCAGAACGACCAGATCCTCCAGTGGCAACCAAATCTCCTTCCGTCCGGCCAAATGCAAAACCTCTACCTACCAACGCTCCTTCTTTATTCGTGCATCCAGAACTTGGAACTCTTTACCAACTACACTAAGATCTCCTGACATTAATATTAGGCAATTCAAATCCGATTTACAGACTTACTACCTGACAGCCCTGAGAGAATGCTTCGACGAAGAAGATCCGAGGACATGGAAGACTATTTGTCTGAAGTGTAACACTAGTCGTTACTTACGTTCTGAACTAACTTGTTGTTTTTAGTCTCATGTCCATGTACTGTATGTTATATATTCTGTACTGTATGTGTATTTTTGTATAGGGCCCACAGTAATTGGTTTGCACTGTTGTGGTGTCCCTGCCATTTTTGTCCATGTTTATTGTCTAGATGTCTATTTGCTGTTCTGTTAAGTGTTTTTGGCAAAGTTTAATAAATAAATAAATAAACAATCTCCGTCACAACTTCACATAGTCTTACAAACATTTTTAGCGTTACATTGTGGCTAGCCCGCGAACGGGCTAGCCACAAAAAAACTGTTTAAAAGTCTTTTATGTAGTTTTTTACAAGCTTTCTGATGATGCAAGTTATATTTGTCGCGATTGAATTCAAAATTTTACATTTTTTGTTGTTAGTAGAATTTAATAGCAAATAATGCTCGTAGCATCGTAACTCTCTAAAAAAAATAGTTTCACGATGGCCCCACTTTTGCATGTTGTTCTATTCATAAAAAGATGCTACTGTGCAAAATTTGGTGCTTTTAACCCTCTTCGGAAACATCCATGCACATATCCGCCACACTACTAGTGTATCTGGCTCTTATTACAAATAAAGCCTTACCACAGAGTAGATACATACACAGAGTTGTAACTAGTGTACCCACTTTTTTTGTGCGGGTACTCGGCAAGTTACTATAGTAGATGCATGCATCCAATTGGATGGTGGCTCGTTTTAACTGCCGAGCACACACAGTTGATCATTTTTTGCCCGGTCGCCTGAAAAAGTGGGTACATGAAAACGTGAGTTTCCGCAGTGTTTACGACGGCCAGTTACAGCTCTGTATGTATCTACTCCTTAATCGGGTGTCAATTTCACGTAACTGAACAACACCCAATCAGATGAAAAGCTGGATTTTGGCTTTTTGCATGTGCCCAGACAGGGATTTGTTTCCTTCCACCTGCATTTAAGGAAGGGAAAACTATTGCATGCAAACTTGAAACTTACACGAACATGGAAGTTGAGTTGACCAGATAGATATATAGGCGAAGTGGCACAAACATTCGACAGATTTAGATCGAGGGCGCGGACGTCAAAGACGACGCGAAAAAGGCGTCAAAATGGCGTGGCATATCCATACATGGGCACAACACGCCATTTTCACGTCGTCTTTGACGTCCGCGTCCTCAATCTAAATCTGTCTATTGGTACCAGTGCAACAATGAAAGTACACAGAAGATATTTTCTTAAAAATCTTTATTTCTCAAAACAACTTAGTGTAAGTGTAATAAACATGGCAAGAGTCTAATACTCGTCTCCTTCTTCTTCGCCTTCTGCTTCAACACTGTCGACACCAACTTCTTCGTAATCTTTTTCTAAAGCAGCCAAATCTTCTCGGGCTTCGGAGAATTCACCTTCTTCCATACCTTCTCCAACATACCAGTGGACAAATGCACGTTTGGCATACATCAGATCAAATTTGTGATCAAGGCGAGCCCATGCTTCGGCAATAGCTGTGGTGTTGCTCAACATGCAGACAGCACGTTGGACCTTTGCCAGATCACCGCCAGGCACAACAGTCGGTGGTTGGTAGTTGATGCCAACTTTGAAGCCGGTTGGGCACCAGTCAACAAACTGGATGGTACGCTTGGTCTTGATTGTAGCAATTGCTGCATTGACATCTTTGGGGACCACATCACCACGATACAGTAGGCAACAGGCCATGTACTTTCCATGACGAGGATCACACTTCACCATCTGGTTGGCAGGTTCGAAGCAAGCATTGGTGATCTCTGCTACACTCAGCTGCTCATGGTAGGCTTTCTCAGCCGAGATGACAGGTGCATAGGTAGCCAATGGGAAATGGATACGAGGGTATGGTACCAAGTTGGTCTGGAATTCGGTAAGATCGACATTCAAAGCACCATCAAATCGAAGCGAGGCTGTGATTGATGATACAATCTGACCAATGAGACGATTCAGGTTGGTGTATGTTGGCCGCTCGATGTCAAGGTTGCGTCGGCAAATGTCATAGATGGCCTCGTTATCAACCATGAAGCAACAATCTGAGTGCTCCAATGTTGTGTGGGTGGTCAAGATGGAATTGTAGGGCTCCACAACAGCAGTTGAGATCTGAGGTGCTGGGTAGATGGCAAACTCCAGCTTGGACTTCTTACCATAATCGACAGACAGACGTTCCATCAAGAGGGAGGAGAATCCAGAACCCGTTCCACCACCAAAGGAATGGAAAATTAGGAATCCTTGCAGGCCAGTGCATTGGTCCGCCAATTTTCGGATTCGATCAAGAACCAGGTCTACGATCTCTTTGCCAATGGTGTAGTGGCCACGAGCATAATTATTTGCGGCATCTTCTTTGCCAGTGATAAGTTGCTCAGGGTGGAACAGTTGTCTGTATGTCCCAGTCCTGACCTCATCTGTAAAAAAATAAAGTCCAAATATCAATCCACATGCAATGCCGAGAAAATAGAAAGCATAAAGTAAAAAACCTACCAACTACAGTTGGTTCCAAGTCCACAAACACTGCTCGGGGGACGTGTTTCCCTGCTCCAGTTTCACTGAAGAAAGTGTTGAAGGAGTCATCTCCACCGCCAATGGTCTTGTCACTCGGCATTTGCCCATCTGGCTGAATGCCGTGCTCCAAGCAGTACAGCTCCCAGCAAGCGTTTCCAATTTGCACTCCGGCTTGGCCGACATGAACAGAAATACACTCACGCTAAAGTTAAAGAAACGAAAACATGTTGGTGCAAAAATAAGGTTGAAAACTTACGAAGTTTTGCAAAAAATGAACTTTAACCAGTGACAGTTTCACCTGGCCAAAACTTGCTAAATTTAGAAAGAAAGCTTGAAAAAACTTCACAAAAACATAGCAAAAGTCTTTCACTTACCATTTTTAACTAGAAAACTGCTCTAAAAACTACAAAAGTTCTAAAACTTTTAAATAAAACACAAATCGACTGGCTACAAAGTAACGAGAACCGTCGCGATTTGCAAAGTGATTACCCGTTGCTAGGGCGGGAAGCTTTGCCAACCGGAATATGTGACGTTTTATTATTCATCTCCATGGAAACTCCAATCGGATTTCGGAAAAGCGATCACGTGAGCACACAAAAATGGTAACGGTCATGATGTCGCCATTTGAAATTAAACCGGTTTTTCTTGTTTGATGATGTACGAGCCAGCGATAGCAAGCCTGCGATAGCAGCGGATATCCCTTAAAAACAAAAATGGCGGACGTTTTTCAATATTTTTATTTGTTTTGTAAGTTATAATTTTAATAAATATATAGATAATGCAGTAAAAATGGATAGAGATTTTGATGTCATTGGAAGATATAAGGCCATTGGAAGTAAATTAAAGAGGTATTATGCTCATAACAATTTTAAAAACAGGCGGAAAACATTCCAACAATCCAACCACGACTGAGTTTCACTTTCCGCACTCAGCGCCTTTTTTAATTTAACTATGGTCACTATATAGCCGGCAGTTTACTAAAATTGCCAGCTGAATAGATACTTTAATTAAAATACTCCATGGCAATTATAAAAATTTATATTCTACCTTTGAAATTTTAGTACAAATTAACCTGCTTTATGTTTATACAGACGATTTCTACGAAAGCCAAATGTTGCAGAAGCTAGCCAACAGTTTGGTAAGATAATTTATTCAAAAGGGAGGATCGTGACGGAAAAGTTTGACAATTGCTAATAATGCGATGTTGCCAAATATTTTGCTCAGTCTAAATGTCCAATGGGTCACTCCAGAAAACATCCATACCACCCCCACGGAGGAAATAGGAAGTTAACCCCCCTACCCTCTTCGGATGTCCTAATACATTTACTATTATCAGAAACAATTTTTTCTCCTCTCCCCCTCCGGACAGCAGAAATTTCTTCTGTGGGGGGAGTATGGATCTGTTCTGGAACGACCCAATGCCAAACTAATTTACTTCTTAAGAGGAATGCTGGAGTTAATGGTTTAACATTTACTTGTTGTAGAATATCTTTCAAAAACTTTGCAACAACAAGAATGTTTGCAATATGCTGGATTTTGTTGCTTAGCTAAAGCAAGGTATAATTTTTGTTTCAATCTGAATTATATGAGCCAGTCAACTTGTTTCATAATAACACCAACTTTTTATATAAAATACAAAATCTACAGTTATTTCCATGATTTTTAGGTGTGAAAATACTCTTACAAATTCAACAGCAGAAGTGGAAGCTCTCACTCAGGCAGGTAATGCCAGATGCTTTTACTCATCAAGAGGAGAGAGTGCTGACCATTGAACTATAAATAAACTGGAAGGCTAACTCAGGGGGGGAAATTGAAGCCAGTGCATTTTAGTTTTTCTGAGTTATGAGCAGAAATACTCAACACTGAACATTGGGCTATATATCAAATTGAAGCTATTGAAAAACACTATTTGGTGTAGAAATTTCAAGACTTTAGCTAAAAGGGAAATATTGAAAAACTACAAACATAATTACCGATAATTTGCCGTTTTGCAGTTGTTTTCGTATTTTTAAAATATTTTTCTTTTCGCTGAAGTCTTGAAATTTCCACACCGAATAGCAATTTTCAATAGGTTCAATTTGATATATAGCCCGACGTTTGGGGTCAAGTATTTCTGCTCATAACTCAGAAAAACTATTTTGGCTTCATCAAATCATAGGCCTTCATCATAGCAGTTAGCCTTCCAGTTTATTTATAGTTCAATGGTGCTAACACTCAATGAGTTAAATAGACCTCCTATATTTGTCTAGTTAACTCATTAACCCTACTTTATTATTTTACTCTGTCTAACGGCAGACCATTTTACTTGCCAAGGGAAGAGTACTGTGGCTGCAAAGTGGGTTACAGTGAAAATACAAAAAGTGTCCCACTTCCGCTTCTGTAGTTTGTTGTGATTTACTGTAATTTGTTCTGTTTTTCTGTAGCGATTACCGATTTATCGGCAAATACTGCGATAAAATTTAAATTTCGTTCCTTTTATGCAATGAAACTAACGAAAAATGTATTATTCCCCTTTGCTACAAATTATCATATTTAAAAATAGAAAAAACTAAGTTTTATCGCGGTATTTGCCGATAAATCGGTAATCGCTACAGAAAAACAGAACAAATTACAGTAAATCACAACAAACTACAGAAGCGGAAGTGGGACACTTTTTGTATTTTCACTGTAATTGAGTGATTGTGTGGTATTCCTTTTAGCGAGGTTGTTTTTACATGCTGAACAAGAATCACTTCATCTGAAGTGCCCAATGTTTCAAGAGCATTTAACTGAAGCAATACACTGCTTTAACCAAGCCATAAAGGTATATTGTATATATGCCATATCGTTTTACTGTACTTTATCTAATGTCAGACAAGTTTATACCAAAACAATTCACAATGATTTTGTTTGCTGTTTAGCTTCACTGTATCCATGGCAACCTGAACCTTGCAGCGTGTCTATGTTTGGAGTTAGGAAACACTCTTAGTGTAAGTTGGATGACATATTTGATGGTATCTAAACTGGCATACTACATTCGATCTTCATATGAAAGTCAAGCATTCATTGTTCAGAAACAATTTGTCCGAAACAAATTAAATAGAAACAAGCTGTCATTAAAATGAAGCTAAGAGAAAGTTTGTTAAATCATATGTTTCTAGGAAATGAGACAATATTCAGAAGCTGTTGGTTATTTTCAACAAGCATCAGAACTACAGCATAAGGTATGTTCAACACTAACTTGCCTTTCATTGAAACACATATGCTGTCACTTACCATTGAATTAAGCCTGCTACTAGAGGTTGTCAAGGTAGTGTTAGGTTGGGTCCCTGTACTTGAAAAACTCCTGCTTGGTTCTCTCCAGTCTAATTATAAAATTACCAATTAACTTATCCCTGGAGACCTTTATGATTTAGGTTGTAAAACCTGGTGATTCACCCATTGAGCACTCTCACCTTGATGAGTAAAATTGTCTGGCATTAGACAGAGTAAAAAAATAAATAAGGGTGCATTAGGGTGTAATGCAACTTAATGGGCACCTGGGCAGATTGACTGCCCATTGAGCTCCAGCGCTCTTCCCTTTGACAAGTGAAATTGTCTGGTGCTACAGTAAAATAGTAAAGTAGGGTAAACACAATCTTAAAAGGTCTGTGTCAGTGTAGGTAGTGGCAATAATAAGAAAGTTTCAGATTGATAGGAATGCAACTACCTGAAAAATACAAGGAGAACTTTATCTTTGTTCAATCTAATATATTATTCGAACTGACTAAATAGAATGAAATAATGTAAGTATAGTCTATAGGGGTCTTAATTAAAAAGCCTAATAGGTTTCTAGAAGGCTCCTAGCCTATCCAAAACAATAGAAAAATAAATGTAAATAACTAGATATTTTTTACGGCCGTAATAAAAAAACAAAAAAACAAAAACGCAGTCAAACTATTACGGCGTACTAAAATATATATTGTTGTTGTACACCAGACACCATTGATTGCTTTGAACTCTATGAAGTTAGCAGCTAAATGCAAGTTAAACATGGGTGAGTTACATTTTAAAATATATTTTCACACAGATTAGTTTTCACTCGGCTATTGAAGTACAACTCGGGTATATTTTAAAATGAGTTAAGAGCAAACTTCAAATCGTATGTTGAGGTCAACTGTTAGCTCTTTGAGGTTAGGACAATTTGCACATTAAGATTAAAGCACAAATGGGTATATAATTGCATGTTGACTCGTGTTACATTCTGAACCATCAGAGTAATATTTTTTTTCTGTCACTTGCATGCAGGTACAAATAATGGCAAGCTACTGATTCACAGTAAAAATTAAACATTTGATTATAAGATAGATTGGTGTGTGACTCATGTTACAACAAAAGGACATGAGGTAACACCAACCTAACTACTTTTTAATTTCTTCGGGAACCATAGGAAAGAGAAACATACAATGTCTATCAAGTAACAGACTATATGTTAGGCAAACTACCAACACAAAGAAATTTTATATTTTGGATTACAATACTAAGGATTGTACATGATACACGTGACTCATGTTACGTATAAAATACAGCTTCATATTTCACTTCAGAATTGTTTCCAATAGCTTCTGAAAATTCTTGACAACTTTTTTTTCCAAAAATGTTATCACTACCATGGAATTACCCAAATGAGCTAATTAGCTGTTGAAAAGTTGTAGAAGTTATCCTTGTATTGTTGTGTATTTCAGGTGATTATGATGGTGCTTTGGCGTTGCTGACAGAGATGGTTTACTTGATTCATGAGCGAGGTAGACGTGTGTTCTTCTCACAAGCAAGTAGGGTTCTTTAATGGACCTATTCCCTAATGAACAAAATTTTGATCTAGACAAGTCTAAACAAAACTTTCATCACAAACTTCGCAGGGCTATATTATCCCCATTTTACAACATTTTGCAACGAAACTTTTTTGTGATGCTCTTTCAAGCTGTGATGAAATTTTTGTCTAGACTTGTCTAGATAAAAATTTTGTTCATTAGGGAATAGGTCTATTATCAAATATGTTCATGTGTTTAATTATCTTTCTAGGTAGTAATTTACCTGGGGCCTCAGGAAGCAATCAAATACACGGTAAGAAAATGTCAGGATTTTAAAGCCTGGTTTAAACTATCAAAGTTTCTGTGATGTTTTCTCTGATGTGACATTGAGTCAGTTCCCTCGGACATTTCTTACAAATCCTTCAAAACTCAGAATTTACCAATGCAAAATCCTACTGTGATCACAGAAACTTTGATAGTGTAAACCAGACTTAAAAATTAAAATGTTGAAATTTAAAACATGCCTGCAAGTGGCATTTGCACACTTTTGTGCGATGTACTCTTGGAAATAATTTTGAACTGTCTGGGCCAGTGTAGGCCAATAATAACAAGCTTCTGCTGTTAGGGATGCAACTACCTATCTAGACTTGCCCAACTCGCTCGCTAGGGACCGCGCGTAGCAAGAAGGGAGCGCTTGAGAAAGACGGAAGCGAGCGACTTGTGTCACTTGCCTGATTTTGAATCTTACTGAAAAATTTGGCGCGAAAATCAATTATGACATAGTGGGCGTTCACCATGTCGATTTCACTAGTTCATTATTGTTTTGTTCATAATAATAATGAGCATTCACTGACGTCACCGGAGCACAAATGCACCGGTGAATTTGGCGCGCTTGCGGGTGACAAAAGTCCGTCGCTTCCAGGAACCACGAACCGCGGACTTTGGAAAGTCTACTACCTATCAAGTACAAAGCGAAATTCGTTGTTTCGAGCGAAGGCAGTGGCATCTCTGCCAACGAAAGCTTGTTACTATTGGAAATACTCCGTTGGAAGAAAGTAACATGACGTCTTTTGTAAACTGGGAATGTTTAGCTGGTTATGTGGATATCTTGGCTGAATGTGATGTCACTATTGTCCTAATTCTACTGCTGTTACAGGTAAAACTCTTTGCTAGTTTATTCTATTATAATCTTGAACGGTTTTGTGGCAGTGCAGCAGGCCAGCCCATTGTACACCAGAAATAAAAGCCCACAGAAAACGTTTCTACATTTTGTTACATTTCATAAAGTTGTGTGATTGACTTGCAGCCAACACCACAGAAGATTCGCCCTGAGCATGCGCAAATGTTGGAGAAATACGCTTGGGAATCCAATGGAACAAGCTCACCTGGTATGGAATATTTCGAATACAAAGCAACTCCAACAATAGTAAACAGTTTTCAAAATTTTATAATCCACTTAAATCTTTAGCACATAGCATTGTGGTCTTCAGTTGTTTCTTATTTTCTGTAATTTAGTTGATTATCTGAGTGAAGATCTCTTTCTGCTATTGCAATCTGTTGTGGTAAGTCATTGACCAATCGGAAATTACCGATTATTCATGCTACAATCTACCCGATACCGATTTAATAATGACGTCATAGTATCAGTCGACCGAGTAAAGGTGAAGTCATTCATGTTGATTTTTTAACGATAATTTCCAAAGTAACATGTTACTGCAACCAAAGATCACTAAAACCATTAATAAATTTCACGCTTCACGCATTAATTTAACATATTGCGTTAAAACGGTATCAACGTGGCCCGCAGTTGCGGTCACCCAGCCGTGGTCATGTACTGTATTTCATTTTGTACGTTTGTTTTTGTCCTGTAATGTACTGTTTCACTCGGTAAAGTTTATAAATTAAAAAAATTAAAAAATTAACTTGCAATGCATAGAATTTTTAAAGTGCGTTTTTTCTCAACAATCGGTTTTACACAATTGGAGTATAGACAATTTTACCGATTCCGATTGTCTACCGATAAGGCAAAAATTGGCCCGATGCGTCGATCACTAGTAAGTATCATCACTGGTTCTATATACTGAAGACGCAATGACGCATTATCCATTTGGATGAATTTGGGCGAACATTTGTAATCTTCAGTATAAAGACGGGAACATGAAGCATTAAACGTCTACACGAACTATGTTCAGGAGTATGCCTTAAGTGATGAACATGTTACTCATGATAGTTCTTCTAGATGCATAGTTTGTCTTGTAACCGTTTTTATGAAGAGATGTTTCCTCTTCGTCTGATACCTTTCTTCTTTACACTGTACAATACAACACTGCTTCGGTCAAGTTTGAAACCTTGTGTTCTATTAACTATGTTACAATGCATGTTTAGATGTCGTGCCAAGCTAAAGACGGAACTGCTCTACAAGAACTTGAAAAAGATCTTTGGTAAGTTGAAAAATATGGCAGTCCAAATCTACAGCAGCCACGTTGGCAGTGATGGTTGTTTGACTTGTTTCCATCCAGAAATGTCGCTGTCGTTATCTTCTTCATGTCGGCCCATCTTAGCTGATAAAAATGCCGCTTGCTAAAAAGTTTGCATATACTTAACATAACTGTTAAAATGCCTGTCTGGACAGAATGTTCTATTGTCTTTTCATCATTTTCATAAAAATCCCACTATTCTCCGTGCCAGCCATAATTCAGTGATTGGAATGTTCCATTGTCATTTCATTGCCTTGTCATCTACTCACTCATTGTTTTGTCTTTTACTGTTGGCGTTTATCTGAATAGCATATACATTATCTGTGTTGTTATTATTGGACTCAAGGGCTTGGCTCTATCGCTCTACTGTCCTAGCTTGTACATACATGAAAATCTCGCATCTTGTCAACAAGATGTGTTCCATCAGGCTTGTCAACAAGAAAATGTTAATAATCTTGCAAGCTTATCAACAAGTTGTAACAATGCTTATAGTCTCAAGTTGTTACCAAATCGTCAGTCATAACTTGTTAAAACAAGAACGATAACAACTTGTAACAATGTGTTAATTTGTCAAATTGTTACAAGTTATTCTATTTGTTGTTCTAAATGCTGAGATTGCGTTTTTAACTTTACAGGCCATATTTCAATGGAATTCAAAAAGAGTTGTTGTACAAACTCGTTATTCAAATGACAAATTAGAATTATGTTGTGAGGACGTGTGAATACTGAATACCTCACAGATAGACGGATAGACATAGGAAAGTTAGGGAACATACAGACAGTTACCCAATTCGACTGGGCTTTGATCATTTAAACGAGCGAAACATGATTGATATACCTGGTTGCAGTGAACGAACAAACTTTGGACTTTGTATAGTTATTATATCAAGTATAACTAATGCAATCTTTTCAAAATAAATATGGCAGTAACATTCATAATACTGTATTAAATTTATACTGCTAAAAAAACTAAAATAAATTGTAGTCTCTGGTTTGCTTGTTTGTCCCTCTGCATTAGCCTGCATGGCAGGCGGTTTTAGGTATTTCCTTTGCCTCCCTACATCCTCGTACGTTCATACTTCATGTAAGTAAGTTGTTTGTAAGTACTTAATTTAAGGAGGCTCTGCGGACGAGAGAATGTTGCAAAATATTTTATTTTATTTATTTAATTTACCCAAAAATAGGAAGGGCGCACCGACAGAGCCGAAGCTCCAATAACGGGTTCCCCGCGTGAGTTGTAAAATACATAGAAATATTGTATACAAAGGGTTAAACACTAAATAGTGCATCACAACAAAAAAACAACAAAAAGGTCATCACATAATATAAGGGCGTTCAGACTGAGTGCCCGGCACTGGTGCCCAATGTTCAAAATGGTTCACAAAACATGTTGAGCACAGTGCCGTTGTTGAGTACTACCTCTAGAGGTAGTGCCCGTTCTTGGGCACTGTGCCCAATTTCATTTGAAAGCGTCGTGTTCAAACTGGGAGCCAAAACAAGTGCCGGGCACCAGTGCCGGGCACCCAGTCTGGACGCAGCCAAAGTGTTAATGAGTGAATCCATGCAAAGGACGAGCTTTGTGACATTTGACACAAACAGTCTTGTATGTGTGCGGCAATTCTGGGAGTAAACATTAGAAGTTAATAAAAAATAGTAATTAAATAGACAACCCAACATTCCCACCGTGGCCAGGCATATTTTTCAAGCCTGCCCGGTGTGGATATACACTCAGAGTAACATCACAAGCATCTTATACACCTGAGTACATTATACCAACACAGCAAATTTCACGGCGATTACTGTTAGATTACACTGATATCGAAGGAACTAGACTCAGTTCCGAAATATTAGGCCTGCACGTAAAATAAATTCCTTGATTCTCATCACTACACTTTGAAAATGTCGAAGAGGCGGGAGGTTTATATTTTATATAGTTCCTTTAAAATGCAATGAAATTTCTTTCAAGGTTCTGTTTGTTTGAAATTGGCAGTTTAAAATGGCACTAAAAACCCAATATAAGATATAAAAAACTTAACTGCATGTCTTGAAATATTTTGTCGGGCGGTACATTTATATTGTATATAAATAACAAAATATAAAAAAATTTCACACGGCTCTGAAAATACAGTCGGGCGGTGATGCGAATCAAGGAATTTATTTTATGTGGCCTTAAAAAAATAAAAAAACAAGTAAAAATTAAAAAAAAAAACGCCCGCCCGCCTCTGAAAATTTTGAGAGTGTAAAATAAATTCCTTGATTCTCATCACCGCCCAACTGTATTTTCAGAGCCGTGTGAAAATTTTTTATATTTTGTTATACAATATAAATGAACCGCCCGACAAAATATTTCAAGACAGTTAAGTTTTTTATATTTTATATTGGGTTTTTAGTGCCATTTTATAGTAAACTGCCAATTTGAAACAAACAGAACCTTGAAAGAAATTTCATTGCATTTTAAAGGAACTTCGCATTCAGTTCAGGGGTTCAGTCAATGTTTGTGGAGAAATATGTTTATTTCGGTTTGTGACACTTCACTTTGGAAATCGCAAAAATATTAAATGTTAGGAATTATTTTTTATTTATTGAAGCTTATTGATATATAAATTATATAGAGAATAATACATGGTGCGCGGAAATACCATATTTATTTCGAGTGTTGAACATGATATCTCACGTGTGAGCGAACCGAACGAGTGAGATATCATGTTCAACACGAGAAATAAATCTGGTATTTCCAAGCACCCATGTATTTTTCTGTTTATTATATAAAGGACAGTCTTTGAAAAGCGATAATTTGTACAGAAAAGCGATATTTGAAAAGCGATAATTTTCACATGTGAGATTATCATAAATAATCTCAGTTCTCACATGCGAGATTATCAGTTTTATCAGTGCTCGAAATCTCTATAAAGCACTATACTTTATATAATAAATAAATATAAAATATAAACCTCCCGCCTCTTCGACATTTTCAAAGTGTAGTGATGAGAATCAAGGAATTTATTTTATGTGGCCTAATAGTATTTTTTTTTTTGGGGGGGGGGGGGGGGGGCGATTAATTTCCACCATATCGGTGATATATTTGTACCTATATATATATATATATATATATATATATATATATATATATATATATATATATATATATATATATATATATATATATATATATATACTACTGTATATATAGTAGAGTTCACTGATTTGTACTGATGTTTGCAAAGGCCGCCATTTTGCTATAAGAACCTTGTAGCTATGCTTGTATTATTGCATGCATGTATACCCAAGACCACGCGGCGCTCCTATCGATCAGTCTATGATCAGTATATATAGCGCGAAGGTCTGAGCATGAGAAAAATTTCAAATATTATACTGTTTTAAGCTGTAAAACAAAGAGATTTAGATAAAAAAAAACTAAAAAAAAAACTTCAGAGGCGGCAGAAATCGAGAGGCGGGGCGGTGACGCTAACCAATTTTTTTTATTTGGCCTTACTGCAATGGATGTCACAATTGTCGACGAGTTGTTCATCAATCTTGGGGATCCAGGGAAATTTCAAATGATTTCATATTTTTTCCTGGTAACAAACATGATATTTGCTATAGCTAATCATTTGAATGTCGTATTTTATGCGGCCAAGACCCCACACCATTGCAAACTAAATGTGAATCAGACCTTGCAGGATTTTGTTCCTTTTGTGAGACACAGTAAATATGAAGAACAATTAGATGGATGTCATGTTTATACAGCATTGAACAGCTCTGAGACGGAGCCATGTCGCAATGGATGGACATATGATTTAAAACATGGAGAAAAAACTATTATCTCGGAGGTAATTGCATAAATTTGTATTTTAATATTCATTCTTCCAAAGTTAGCAGTATTTTCCATCCAGCAAAGTGGCAAATTCTCCCTATCGTTTCTTTTTGGATTTTTTTTATTAATTTGGTTAGGATTGCGGTTGGGTTAAAGTAGGTGTAGGGTTTGGGTTGGTTACATAGCCGTTTAATACCTCTTCCAAAAATGATGTCAGGTTAGGGAGCTGTTAACTTCACATTTCCTTCATGGGGATGGTATGGATGTATTCTGGAATGACCCAATAATACCTATTTCTGCAAACGAAAACCTCCTTTAACACTCGGACAAGAAACAGGATATTATTTCATAATCTTGGGCTGCGCCAGTGTTGTTATTGTGCCAATATTAATAATTATTGATTGATAGGGATACAACTACCTGAAAAATACAAGGAGAACTTCGATGTTCTGAGCAAAAGCCCTTCATCCTTCGGCAGTCGACTTGTGGCAAGTCCGACAGAAATCCGTTTAGAAATCAACAGAAATCAGATTAGAAATCAAGAAATCAGGTTCGAATTCGCGTGATTTCGAAATCTCGTACGCTTCATGTGGCCGTGTCGGCTATGGTCGGACCCCTCTGGCAAGTCTACTAACTTTGTGGCAAAGGGCCTTCACTCGAGATGTCAAAATTCTAGTATTTTTCAGCTAGACTCATTCTAGTATTTTTCTAGTATCTTTCAGCTATTTTCACCTATCAATCCAACATTTTTTTATGCTGTATTTCTTCTAGTTTAATCTTGTGTGTGATGATGCATATAAAAGTGAACTGGCAACAACAATATACTTTGGTGGTGTGATGGTCGGTTCGTTATTTTACGGATTTCTTGCAGATAAATATGGTCGAAAGCCTAGCCTCGTAATTGCTCAGTTATCAGCAGGAGTTCTTAGCTTTGCAATATTTATATTTAGAAATTATTATGCATTTGTCATCTTACGATTTTTGCTTGGTATTCAAGTCCAGGTAATGAGAGGATGATGATTGCAGTTTGGTTGTGTGTGTGTGTTTATTTTCTGGAAAGTATGTCAGCTTGGCTATGCAGCCTCGTTTCACAACATTATAGGTTTAACTGTCACCTATATAAATATAAGACTGTACTTTCCGGAACTTGGGTGTAATTGTGAACTAACCTTTTTTATTTTAAATGCGAGAGGTGTAATTTTAATTTCACTCTTCTGATTCATCTAGGCTTTTATTACATTATCTATTGTGTTAGCTATGGAGCTATTCCAGACAAAGCATCGTGCAAGAGCTGGCGTCTTTTTTGGCATCATTGCAGTATCTGGGGGTGTAGTGTTGGGAATACTGGCATATTTCATACGAGACTGGAAATATATTCAACTAACTCTCTCTTTCTTTCCATTCATTCAACTACTGTTTTTATGGTAAGTCAATCACTTGGAAGGTGAAGGCTATGGGCTGGCATGATCCATGTGGGCCTCGCCTTTGCCGACAAAGTGGGCCTGGCAGACATGTGACAGGGTTGTGGTTTATGATAACAACTTAAATTTTTGATAGGTATTCTTCAATGTAATTTTAATATCTATTTTGAATGTTTCATTTTACACAGTGTATCAATATTGTAACTGTTTTGAACAACTAAAGGACAAACAAAATCAAACAATTAGGCCTTTGGTAATAAAATCATGTTCAATTTGCACTATATTTACACTAGAGCAATGGAATGGCAATTCACCTGATTTCAAACCAGATTCTGGAGTCTGGGCAGGTATTTTATGTTGAAATTGTGCTGACAGATATAACATTTGGGGGTTAGACACCGCCCTGGACCCCTCTTTGCTACACCCCTGTCTGTCATTAATGTCTCTTCATCATTTTTCAGTTTTGTTCTAGAGTCCCCACGCTGGCTGATTGTGCATAAACAATTTGATAAAGTGGAGAAGATTGTTCACCGTATAGTTTCTTTCAACAACTTGCCATATCCAGAGCAAGTCATGCAAGGAATTAAAAACAACAGCAGCCAGTATCAAACAACACCAGGTCAAAAGGCAACTGTTTTAGATCTCTTTAAATCTCCGTCCTTACGACGGACAACTTTCATCTTAATTATCATATGGTAAGTAGCAGGACCTTTTTAACATGGTAGGCTGTAGTTGACAGAGCCAAAAGGTCCTAGACTGGAACCCCACCCAATAATTTTTACGAGAATGGCTTGTGCAGGAGCGCCAGTAATATCCAATCAACTCTCATGCAACTCTTGTTCTTGTTTGACCAGGGTTTTAGTGTGACGCCTGCAAATTATTATATAATTTTTTCCGTAGGTTCACCGTCTCTGCTGCGTTTTATGGCTTGGCGATCAATATTTCGTTCTTGTTTGGTGATAAATACGTCAATTTTGCGATAAGCGAGGCAGTAGATATGTGTGCTGTCATATTAATGTTCTGGGCTGTCCCAAAGTATGGATACTTTATGTCCTGAGTTTGTTTCTTATTTCATGAATTCTAACTAAAGCTCTTTGTGTTAAGGTTTGGTCGTCGTATGCCTTTGACTCTCGCGTTCTTTATTTGTGGAATGGCGAATGTTATTTCAGTCATTACAATCACTATTGAATCAGGTATAAAATTTCAGAGTTGTTCCAACTGTTTCATCTCCTGGCCCTGGGCATATATTGGCGGGACAATAAGGGCCATTGCATAGACCATTGGCATTGTATTATGTTTTGCCGTAAATACATCACGATAACGCTTGATTTAAGTCAGAACGGCAATATTTTTTCGTTATTTAGATGCAACGTGGGTAAAAATCCTAGGAACAGCGACTGCACTTCTTGGAAAATCTTGTGCAGTATCTGCATTGAATACGTTACCAACTTTCACTGCTGAACTTTATCCTACTGTTATACGGTAAATGAACTGCGTTTGAATGCGGTTGAAATGTACATAATTCTTGACTGGCATGTAGTAAAACACTGACTACCGGAACACCGGAACACCACCTAACCCTAACCCCAACCCTAACCCCCAACCCTAACCCCAAACCCTAACCCCAAACAAAATGGTGGTGTTCCGGTGTTCCGGTAGTCAGTGTTTTACTACATGCCATTCTTGACTGGTCTGTGCCAATGTGGGTAGTGCCACGCCCCGGTAGTGGCATAAAAAAAACTTTGGATGGATGGAAATGAAACTGCGTGAAAAATACAAGGAGAACTTGTACGTTCAAGCTGCAGGAGTTAGTAACGACGAAGGGCCTTGAATTACTCATGAAGCAAATATTGGGGGCGGGGGTTGTTACATCCGGACTCTAAAATTCCGTAATAAATTTTACTTTGTTATTATCTTTTGTATGTTTTAGGAATGTGAGTCTGGGTGTGAATGGTGCTTGGACAAGAATTGGAGGGATGCTTTCACCCCAGATATTTTTACTTGTAAGTTATGGAAATAAAAATGGAAATTATGGAATATGGGTGAAACAATACGATGCTGACTGGCGTGTACACACGTAAAAATCTCACAACTTGTCAACAAGATACAAGCTTGTCAACCAGTTATAACAATTCTGTATTTCATCAAGTTGCTACAAGTCACTCACAACTTGTTGACAAATTGTTGAAGTGCAGGACGATAACTAGTTGTTGGAACAACTTGTAACAACTCTGTTCAGCTCAGCAACAAGTTGTCAACAAACCATTGACGACACATCCTGTTGCCAAGTTGTTGGGACAGCATTGCTACAAGTCTGCTGCAGGTTTGTTACAACTTGTGCGTTTTTACGTGTGTAAATAAAGTGTGAATTTTAAACATTGACCTAAAGTTTGCAACTTCCTTCTATAGGGTGCATACACAGCTACGTATGTCCCATATTGCATTCTGGGCGTGATATCTCTCACGAGCGCTTTCTTAATATTACTGCTGCCTGAAACACATAATAAATCATTGATGGATACCATTGACCATGTCAGAGGAGGAGTGGAAAGGAGGGACGAAGATGATGGGAGTTCGCAAATGGCGGAGGAAAAGGAAGCGTTCTTTCATGAGGAATCTTCAGTATAGTTGTTGTCGCGATATGATCTGGATATGCCTTCAGTGATGAACATGTTACTCATGATAGTTCTTCTAGATGCATAGTTTGTCTTGTAACCGTCTTTATGAAGAAATGTTTCCTCTTCGTCTGATACATTTCTTCTTTACACTGTACAATACAACACTTCTTCGGTCAAGTTTGAAACCTTGTGTTCTATTAACTATGTTACAATGGATGTTTAGATGTCGTGCCAAGCTAAAGATGGAACTGCTCTATACTGAAGAACTTGAAAAAGATCTTTGGTAAGTTGAAAAATATGGCAGTCCAAATCTAGAGCAGCCACGTTGGCAGTGATGACTGTTTCCAGCAAGAAATGTCGTTATCTTCTTCATCTCGGCCCATCCTAGCTGATAAATTGCATACACTTGTTAAAATGCCTGTCTGGACAAAATGTTCTATTGTCTTTTCATCATTTTTATAAAAATCCCAATATTCTCCGTGCCAACCATAATTCAGTGATTGGAATGTTCCATTTGATTGCCTTGCCATCTACTCACTCATTGTTTTGTCTTTTACTGTTGGCGACTATTTTACTGTTTGCGTTTATGTGAATAGCATATACATTATCTGTGTTGTTATTATTGGACTCAAGGGCTTGGCTCTATCGCTCTACTGTTCTAGCTTGTACATACATGAAAATCTCGCATCTTGTCAACAAGATGTGTTCCATCAGGCTTGTGGCAAGCTTATCAACAAGTTGTAACAATGCTGTTAGTCTCCCAAGTTGTTACAAAAGCGTCAGTCATAACTTGTTAACAAGAACGATAACAACTTGTAACAATGTGTTAGTTTGTCAAATTCTTACAAGTCATTCTGTCCTAAATGCTGAGATTGCGTTCCTAACTTTACAGGCCATATTTAAATGGAATTCAAAAAGAATTGTTGTACAAACTGGTTATTCAAATGACAAGTTAAACATGTTGTGAGGACATATGAATACCTGGAAACAAACGGACAAACAGACTTTGGTGGGCAGACAAATGGACAAACAGACATTTGTATAGTTATATAAAGTATAACTAATGCAATCTTTTCAAAATAAATATGGCAGTAACATTCATAATACTGTATTAAATTTATACTGCTAAAAAGACCTAAAATAAATTGTAGTTTCTGGTCTGCTTGTTTGTCTGTCTGCATCCTCGTACGTTGCATACTTCATGTAAGTAAGTTGTTTGAAGGCTCTGCCACAGAATGTTGCAAAATTCAAAGTTCCGTCATAGGTTCCGTGAAATACAGCTATGGATGTCACAATTGTCGACGAGTTGTTCACCAATCTTGGGGATCCAGGGAAATTTCAAATGGTTTCATATTTTTTCTTGGTAACAAACATGATATTTGCTTTGGCGACTCATTTGAATGTCGTATTTTATGCGGCCAAGACCCCACACCATTGCAAACTAGATATGAACCAGACCTTGCAGGATTTTGTTCCTTTAGTGAGACACAATTTAAAATATGAAGAACAAATAGATGGATGTCATGTTTATACAGCATTGAACAGTTCTGAGACGGAGCCATGTCGCAATGGATGGACATACGGTTTAAAACATGGAGAAAAAACTATTATCTCGGAGGTAATTGCAGAGATGTGAACCCTAAGTAACAAAAATGCGGGTGATATATAATTTTTGACATGACGTCATTTTTTGTTGTTGAGAAAATTGATTGGTGATTTATAAAAGCCTTGCTAAGCCCCATATTTCTAACTTCCATAGATATTTATATTCTTGTTTATGACAAAACAGATGTATACAAACGTCTTAAGAGTTAAGTCTAGTTGAAGTAGTCAAGTAGATGTGCGCATGCATACACTCTACCAACCAAAAACAGAACAACGAATCAAGAATCAGAAGACAGAATCACAGAATGCGGGTGAATTGCTATAAAATTTGCTAATGCGGGTGATTTTATGTGCCAATTTTTCCGCGTGTGATGATTCCAAAATGCGGGTGTCACCGACTCAATGCAGGTGAGTTCACATATCTGTAATTGCATAAATTTGAATATTAATATTCATTTTTTCACTTAATTGGTTAAAGTCAAATCTGAACTTTTATTTTTTTCTCTACCAATTTTCGGGTGATGGCCATGTTGACAAAAAACCCTTCCTGTTTGCATCATCCCATCAGAATCAAACCAGAGAAATGGGTCTTTCCAGAAATGTCCACACTCCCCCCACAAAGGAAATTTTTGCTGTCCAGAGGGGGAAGGGAGAAAAATTTGTTTCTGATAATAGTAAGGGGTACTTATTCACAGGGGAGGAGGGGGGTTAACTTCCAATTTCCACCATGGGGGTGGTATGGATGTTTTCTGGAATGACCCAATACCTATTTGACTATTTCTGCAAAAGAAAACCCTCCTGAACACACAGACCAGAAACATGATATTTTTTCTTATAATCTTGAACAGTCTGTGCCAGTGTTGTTATTGTGTCAATAATAAGAAAGCTTTGGATTGGTATAGTGATGCAAGTACCTGAAAATACAAGGAAAACTTTGATGTTTTGAGCGAAGGCCGTTTGGTTACTAACTTTCTGACAAAGGGCCTTCACTTGAAACGTCACAGTTCTTGTATTTTGCATCCCTATCCATCCGACATTTTTTTTTGCTGTATTTCTTCTAGTTTAATCTTGTGTGTGATGATGCGTATAAAAGTGAACTGGCAACAACAATATACTTTGGTGGTGTCCTGGTTGGTTCATTAACGTACGGATTTCTTGCAGATAAATATGGTCGAAAGCCTACCCTCGCATTTGCTCAGTTATCAGCAGGAGTTCTTGGCTTTGCAATATTTATATTTAGAAATTATTATGCATTTGTCATCTTACGATTTTTTCTTGGTATTCAAGTCCAGGTATATGAGATGATGATGGTTGCAGTTTGGTTGTGTGTGTGTTTGTTTTCTGGAAAGTATGTCCAAGGCAGGAAAAAAGAATTTTCTTCCTGGGAGCACAAACTGGAGACAAAAATGTCCTGTAGACCAACGAAGTATTTTTGTGCTAAATCTGCATGTGCATAAACATATAGTGTTCTAGCTGACCATGGTTTTAAATTCAAGGAATAATGTCTGTCAACCATATGTTCAGTGGCAGAAATCTTGGTCGGGGGGGGCGGCCGCTCCCCCCCCCCACCTTCACAGAAAATTGATGAATTTTCGGAAATTTTGGCCTAAAAGACGGCTAAAAACAGTCTTTTTGAGTGCAAATGGGGGGTATGTCGGAAATTTGAAAGTTTTGTCAGAAATCTAGAAGGCTTCCCCCCCGCCCCCCCACCGGAAAAAGTGAATTTCCGCCACTGCATATGTTGTTGCGCCCATAGTGGGACATGGGTGTTAATTAAGGTTTCCTTCAAATTTTCAATAGGAAATCTTCATTCAAACTAATTTCCTGCAGCTGTTTAACATTTCCTACAAGCAGCTAGTGCTCACCTATTTTTTCCAGCCCTGAGTAATGCCAGCTTGGCTATGCATGCAGCCTTGCTTCACAGTTGAGATATTAGGTTTTACTAGCTGTCACCTGTTTGGCAGCTTAGTATCTTTAAGAACTAGCTGTCATCTACATGACTTAATACAAGGCTCTAATAGCCAATTAGTGATGTACTTTCCAGAAGGGTGTATTAATTTTTTTTATTTTAAATGCAAGAGGTGTAATTTTAATTCCATTCTCCTGATTCATCTAGGCTTTTATTTTATTATCTTTTGTGTTGGCTATGGAGCTATTCCAGACAAAGCATCGTGCAAGAGCTGGCGTCTTTTTTGGCATAGTGGCGGTATCTGGGGGTGTAGTGTTAGGAATACTGGCATATTTCATACGAGACTGGAAATATATTCAACTAACTCTCTCTTTCTTTCCGTTCATTCAACTACTGTTTTTATGGTAAGTCAATCACTTGGTTCACTTGAAAGGATGGTGAAGGCTATGTGCTGGCGTGGTCCATGTGGGCGTCGCCTTTGCCGACAAAGTTAATATCTATTAAGAATTTTTTATTTTACACAGTGTATCAATATTGTAACTGTTTTGAACAACTAAAGGACAAACAAAATCAAACAATTAGGCCTTTGGTTATAAAATGATATTCAATTTGCACTATATTTACACTAAAGCCATGGCAATTCACTTTGATATTTCAAACCAGATTCTGGAGTCTGGGCAGGTATTTTATGTTGAAATTGTGCTGACAGATATAACATTTGGGGGTTAGACACCGCCCTGGACCCCTCTTTGCTACACCCCTGTCTGTCATTAATGTCTCTTCATCATTTTTCAGTTTTGTTCCAGAGTCCCCACGCTGGCTGATTGTGCATAAACAATTTGATAAAGTGGAGAAGATTGTTCACCGTATAGTTTCTTTCAACAACTTGCCATATCCAGAGCAAGTCATGCAAGGAATTAAAAACAACAGCAGCCAGTATCAAACAACACCAGGTCAAAAGGCAACTGTTTTAGATCTCTTTAAATCTCCGTCCTTACGACGGACAACTTTCATCTTAATTATCATATGGTAAGTAGCAGGACCTTCTTAACATGGTAGGCTGTAGTTGACAGGGCCAAGGTCCCAGGCTGGACCCCCACCCAATAATTTTTATGAGAATGGCTTGTGCAGGAGCGCCAGTAATATCCAATCAACTCTTATCAACTCTCAAACAAGTCTTGTTCTTGTTTGACCGGGACATGAGAGTTGAGAAAACTCTGAAGCAAACTCTCGCTTCTCAACTCTCATCAACTCTCATGCAACTCTTGTTCTCGTTTGACCGGGACATGAGAGTTGAGAAAACTCTGATGCAAACTCTCGCTTCTCAACTCTCATCAACTCTTATGCAACTCTTGTTCTCGTTTGACTGGGGCATGAGAGTTGAGAAAACTCTCATGCAAACTCTCGCTTCTCAACTCTCATGCAAACTCTCGCTTCTCAACTCTCATCAACTCTCATGCAACTCTTCTCGTTTGACCGGGACATGAAAGTTGAGAAAACTCTCATACAAACTCTCGCTTCTCAACTCTCATCAACTCTCATGCAATTCTTGTTCTCGTTTGACCGGGACATGAGAGTTGAGAAAACTCTCATCAACTCTCATCAACTCTCATGCAACTCTTGTTCTCGTTTGACCGGGACATGAGAGTTGAGAAAACTCTGATGCAAACTTTCGCTTCTCAACTCTCATCAACTCTCTGCAACCCTTGTTCTCGTTTGACTGGGGCATGAGAGTTGAGAAAACTCTCATGCAAACTCTCGCTTCTCAACTCTCATGCAAACTCTCACTTCTCAACTCTCATCAACTCTCATGCAACTCTTGTTCTCGTTTGACCGGGACATGAAAGTTGAGAAAACTCTGAAGCAAACTCTCGCTTCTCAACACTCATCAACTCTCATGCAACTCTTGTTCTCGTTTGACCGGGACATGAAAGTTGAGAAAACTCTGATGCAAACTCTCGCTTCTCAACTCTCATCAACTCTCATGCAACTCTTGTTCTCGTTTGACCGGGACATGAGAGTTGAGAAAACTCTCATGCAAACTCTCATCAACTCTCATGCAACTCGTATTCTCGTTTGACCAGGGTGATACTTGCAAATTATTATATAATCTTTTCTGTAGGTTCACCGTCTCTGCTGCGTTTTATGGCTTGGCGTTCAATATTTCGTTTTTGTTTGGTGATAAATACGTAAATTTTGCGATAAGCGAGGCAGTAGATATGTGTGCTGTCGTGTTAATGTTCTGGGCTGTCCCAAGGTATGTCCATGCAGATAACCTACAGTATATATTATATTATATAATACCTGGCATATTTCATGTTTAATAATTGTTAAGTATATCATTTCAAGTCCATGAGGCATGACTTATTTCCACTTTGTATGGAATTATAAGTGATGAGGAATTTTTAAATTGAACGTTTGTCTCCTCGTCTGCTGTAGCTTTAAATGTAGTTCTCAAATTCTGAGTTTCAAAATGGATTTTTTATGTCGTGAGTTTGTTTCTTATTTCATGAATTCTAACTAAAGCTCTTTGTGTTAAGGTTTGGTCGTCGAAGGCCTTTGACTCTCGCGTTCTTTATTTGTGGAATGGCGAATGTTATTGCAGTCGTTACAATCACTATTGAATCAGGTATTACATTTCACGGTTGTTCCAACTGTTTGATCTCCTGGCCCAGGGGCATCGGCGGGACAGTAAGAGTAAGGGGCCATTGCATAGACCATTGGCATTCTATTATTTTTTGCCGTAAATACACCACCGTAATGCTTGATTTAAGTCAGGACGGCAATATTTTTTCGTTATTTAGATGCAACGTGGGTAAAAGTTCTGGGAACAGCGACTGCACTTCTTGGAAAATCTTGTGCAGTATCTGTATTGAATGCGTTAACTACTTTCACTGCCGAACTTTATCCTACTGTTATACGGTAAATGAACTGCGTTTGAATGAGGTTGAAATGTACTCTAAAATTCTGTAATACATTTTACTTTGTTATTATCTTTTGTATATTTTACTTTTAGGAATATAAGTCTTGGTGTAAATACTGCGTGGACAAGAATTGGAGGGATGCTTTCACCCCAGATATTTTTGCTTGTAAGTTTCCTTGCGTTTTGTGTTTCATGGTCTGGAAATGGAAATTATGGAATATGGGTGAAACAATACGATGCTGACTGGCGTGTACACACGTAAAAATCTCAACTTGTCACAACAAGATACAAGCTTGTCAACCAGTTATAACAATTCTGTTATTTCATCAAGTCGCTAGCTACAAGGTTGTCACTCACAACTTGTTGACAAATTGTTACAATGCAGGACTATAACAAGTTGTTGGAACAACGTGTGACAAGTCTGTTAAGCTCAAAACCTTGTGGCAAGTTGTTAACAAGCCGTTGGCAACTTGTCAACAAGCTGGGAACAAGCAGTGCGAACACATCTTGTTGACAAGTTGTTGGGACAGCATTGCTACAAGTCTGCTGCAGGTTTGTTACAACTTGTGCGTTTTTACGTGTGTAAATAAATTTGTAGTGTGAATTTTAAACATTGACCTAAAGTTTGCAACTTCCTTCTATAGGGTGCATACACAGCTACGTATGTCCCATATTGCATTCTGGGCGTGATATCTCTCACGAGCGCTTTCTTAATATTACTGCTGCCTGAAACACATAATAAATCATTGATGGACACCATTGACCATGTCAGAAAGGAGGTTGTGGAAATGAGGGACGACGATGGTGAAAGTTCGCAAATGGTGGAGGAAAAGGAAGCGTTATTTCATGAGGAATCTTCAGTATAGTTGTTGTCGCGATATGATCTGGAAAATGTCGTGGTCACCATGCTTGCCTTTCAAGCTGGGAGACCCGGGTTCAATCCTTGCTTGGACCTAGACTTGCTCCAAGTCTCTCTTTGTGGACATCTATATATTGTACATCTATATTGTACGTTACATGACGTAACGTACAATATAGATGTACAATATATACACAGCAAAACATAACAACATTGTTACAGGCTGGCGTTTTTTGCTGTGTAGATGTCCACAAAGAGAGACCTGGAGCAAGTCTAGCTTGGACCTTTACTCAAGGTCTAAAATAATTGAGAAGAAAGTGCTACCTTTACATTGATATCAGTATATAGTTAGACTTTCGCGTTTTCTCTGATAAGGACGTTACATCGTAGCTCGATTCCCCGTATCGACTTTTCAATAGCCTGTTGGGAAATTTGCTCACAAATGGGTGAGAAACTCCTCGAGAAACTCGATAAACAAAACTGAACCTGAAACATTACAATGGTCTTGTTACTTTGGTCAACTCGTGCAGGATCTCTATTCTACTGCATGCGTGTGGTCGTGTCAGGCCATCTAACAGAACATAAAGACTTTTTAAGTTTTTGGTTTACGAAACACAAACAGTGCTCAATAGTCAATACCATATAGATAGAGCGTAATATAATCGTCAGGTGGAATCCTTATATGAATTGCCACTTGACGATTCTTGTACGGATGAAACAGACTGTTTGGGTTTTTTTTGAGGTAAAACGAAAAACTATATGAAAGGAGGAATGATCTAACAACGAAGTTGTTCCAGAAAATAGTTGTAGATTCATCTCACAGGCTCCATGGCCATCTGCCTTCCCGTTTAGAACATTTAAACATGGAACTTAGGACACAACATTTATTTAATATTAAATTCAATACTAATCTATCTAGATATATGTATAGATAGATAAATAGATAGATAGATTTATAGATACATCTATCTACTCTGTGACCTGTATGTACGTACTCTCAGGCGCGAAACTATCCCCTTTTAATTTGGGGGGAGGTGTCTGCTAGAATTGCCCTGCAGCAAAAAATTTTTTTTGGCCACTATTTCTCCCAAAAATGTTGGCGGGGGGGGGGGGTCGAAAAAAATTTTCAGGACATTTAAAAAAGGGGCGAAAAAATTTTTCCGGACATAAACCAATTAATTAAGGGTCAAAAAATTTTTTGCGGACAAATTCCTGTTAAAACATGCATGAAACCCTTATTCTGCAAATTTAGGTCTATAAATTCTATTCAATTCCCTCTGGAAGCTACTTCATAACTCTACATTTGATCATTTAAAATCTTTCATTGCCCTGTCAATCCAGATGATTTGTACTTTGGGGGGTGTCACACCCCCCCCTCCCACACCCCCTCAAGTTCCGTCCCTGCGTACTCTGCATTGTGATGCAGCCTTCGAGTGTTGTATGTAAATGATTTTATTTTAAAAATCAAACCGGTCAAATACTGAACAAAATATAATAACTATTTCAGGGCATTTTTTAACTATATAACTGGGGGGGGCCAAAGCCCCCCCCAGCCCCCATGGTGGCCCCCCCACTCAACCATTTTGGCCACCCCCAGTCAAAGTCCCTTTTCTCTAAAATATAAGCAAAACATTGAATTTAGAAGGAGGTTTGATAGTCTAGAAGGGAGGTTTGATATTCTAGTGAATCTTATGTCCTGTCTTTTATGTTTAATAAATACCTTGTTAGATTTTAAACATTTCCCAGGCAGTGGATTGCATTTCCCAGACCCTATAGAGTTTGAGTTGTTGGACAAGTTAGTGACCGCAGGGGGCAACAGGCCCTCAACCATGTGTTTTATAAGGGGGGGGGATAATTTTGGCCCCCACCAAAAAAAACCAATTTGATTTCGAAACTAGAAGTATTTGAAATCATATATACATATAATCAAATATCTGTAATCGATATTTTGATAACATTTCTCGTAATAATCCATCCTGACTCGCGGATATCGATCATAGACTCACAAATCATAATGAACGAATTAATGAAAGGGCCAAACAAAAGACGTATAGAAGACTTTGAAAATGCCATTTCCGATGATTTAGAGACGCAAAATTTTCAAAATTTTTCCACTGTGTGCCAACCATGGTGGCGCTTCGACTGGGAGTCGGGAACTCTAAGTGTATCAAGCTGGCTCCCTAAGCGGCAGGTACAAAACGCAGGTTGCAGGTTGGAATTTTGCAGGTTGCGAATTTTGCAGGTTGGAATTTTGCAGGTTGCGAATTTTGCAGGTTGGAATTTTGCAGGTTGGGGATTTTGCAGGTTGGAATTTTGCAGGTTGCCAGGAACTTTGCAGGTTAATAATGCAAGCTTAAAATTACACCACTTTTTTAGTATTCTAGTATAATTTAGTTGTGCATTTATTCAGAGTCTGACTCCTTGTCGGCGCCTCTGCTCTAAGGCTAGTGGCCATCACCCCTGTGAAAACATTCAAAATGACCAGATTGGCTTGGACCTACAGGGAGACGAATGCAGGGCGTAGGAAACGGGGGGCCAGGGGGGCCAGGTCCCCCAAGTTTTGCCAAGTGCCCTTTTTCCGGGAGCAAAGTGTCCTTTTTTGTGTTAAAAACGTTTTAAGGATTGCCTTTTTTTGCCCAAAGCGCACTTTTCGAAACTTGAATTTATGTTATTTTCCGGAATATTTTTTGGCGAAAAATTTTGTTGTGCTTCTGGAAAATTTTTTTCATATTTAGTAAAATTGGATATATCTGGAAATATTTTTTTGGTTTGTTCGGAAAAAAAATTTGAGACCTCCCCCCTTCCCACCCCGTCGCCAACATTTCCGGGAAAAAATTTTTAGATGGCCTTTTTTATTCGGAAACTGCCCCTCAAAGCCTGCCCCCCAACTTTTAGAAGCTTCCTACGCCCCTGGACAAAAGTTTTGATTGTTGCGAGGTGCCTACATGATCTGGCGGCGTTTAGGGAAAGTACATTTATTATGCCGAGGGGGGGGATGAAGATGTTAAGGGGGGGCTCCGAAATATTTTCTGGCATTAAAGGGGGGGCTCTGAAAGTTCTTGATATACTGAAGGGGGGGCTCTAAACTTTTCAAAGGTTTGACCCCAGCAAATTAAAGTTAAAATTTTTACATCAGTTTCAGGTAAAATTTGCGTAATAAAGTAATTATTTTTGTGAAATGATAACCATTTTTGTAAAATACAGTCAATTTACATGCAATTTGTTTGCGAAATTTGCTTTAGAAAACGCCAGAAATTCAGTCCTAGAGCTTCGAAAATGTAAAACTTTTCTGGGGGAGGACCCCCCGACACCCCTTTTCTCCCAAAACTTAGTATAAGAGTGCCAATCAATCACAAAAAGCTTTATTATAATTATTACACGTATAATCCTCTGACATCCCCCCCCCCCACCCCAAACGTCAGATGCTTTGCTACGTCCCTGCTACGTCAGATGCTTTGCTACGTCCAAGATATCCTTAGTCTGCTCTTCTAAATGGATACATGAAATCACCTATAGCTTATTTTAATTTTTTTTGCGCCAGGTTTGTGAAGTAATTTACGCGCCAAAAAGCAAAAAAGCATATACAATTTGCAAGAATGATATGTTCTATGTTTATGGGATATTTCGTACAAACGGGATGGAAATTAAAGCATACTGGCACTTTTGCATGCATTTTTGACAGGCATGCAAAGACATTTGCAACAGATGCCGGGAGATACGTTGGGTGGGGGCAACATACTGTAAGGTTCCAGCACATTACCCTGATCCAGGAAATCCTGGCCACTACATGAATGTGTTCAAGACTCCGAATGCGCTCAATGATGGGCAACAACGACTTGTTGATAATTCCACCCCTAGAGCCAATTTAAAATGTTTTAAAGACGGTGCCATTTCATCTGGCGCTAGTGAGATGAAAGAAGCAGCAGATCGGTAGTTTTGTTAAGAAGAAGAACTGAGTAGCACTTGAGTATATCAGACATCTTGAGGAACTGCAAATTGTATCTATGATAAGAGAGAATTCCGGATTGTACTCCTTCGATTCCGAATTCTAGAGAGGACGGGGGGGGCATTGAAAATTTTAAAAACTTCGAGGGGGGGGCATCGAAATTTACCGATAACCTCAACAGGGGCCCTGTAAAAATATGAGCTTTTTTCAAGACATCTTCATCCCCCTCCCTCGGTGTAATAAATGTACTTTCCCTTATACTAGAATGTTGTTAAAAGTTAACTACTCTCGAGTAATGATACGGTAATTGGGGGCTTGAGTGGTCTCATAAGTGGGTGCAGAGGAGAGACACCTCATTCAGGCATTTTCTGAACTGCCACCACGTCATGTAGGCTCCTCGCAACAATCGAAACATTCGTCCCCCTGAAGATCCAGACCAAACTGGTCATTTTGAATGCATGTTTTCACAAGGGTGATGAGCAGAGGCTAGAAACATGGTAGCAGGATAGGCTGATATCAAAAGCGGCGACAAGGAGTCAGACTGCAATAAGTACAAAATAAAATTATACTAGAATACTTTATAGTAGTGTAATTTTCAGTTTGCATCATCAACCTGCAAAATTCCTGTCAACCTGCAAAATTCCAACCTGCAAAATCCCCAACCTGCAAAATTCCAACCAGCAAAATCCCCAACCTGTAAAATTCCAACCTGCCAAATTCCCAACCTGCAAAATTCCAACCTGCAACCTGCAACCTGCAACCTGCGTTTTGTACCTGCCGCTCCCTAAGTGACGGCCAAGTTGTGGTATCTACATAAACATACTATGCAAGTACTTAACTGAAGGTTCAGTCTATCTACAGCATAATGTAATGCTGTATATCCAAAAATCTGTTTCAGAAAATGCAGGGAATTGCAGTCATAGGGGTAGAAAAATACAAAAATTTTCTGGGGGAGAAAACCCCAGACCCCCAATAATTTGCTAATAATCATTCATTTTTTAAAATCATGCAGACCTTTATTATTTAATCCATGACAAACTGCAAAGAATGAAGATATTATCATATTACCCATACTTTCCTGCAACTTATCCAATATATTGTTAATTAAATACACCTTCGTCCATTTAGTACTACTGAATTCTAAATTTCCACATACTAAAAATGCTGTATTCTGACAATAAGAAATCTGTCAAATCTTCCCCAAAGTCCAGGAAATGGCATTTCAGAGATTCTAAATTTAAAAATTTCCTCGGGCCTTCGGCCCTCGCTTTCAGCCCTCCCAAACAAAAAGAGCTTCCTAAGGCCCTGCTCTCCAACCCCCCCCCTCCCCACTATTAAATGCGATACCACACTAAACTTTTTGTTACCAACAAACCATCTATCATTGCTCCACACTCGGTATAGTATGGTCCCTTTTTGTAGATGGCCCCCCCACTGACGAATTCTTAAAAAATGCCCTGAACTATTTGAACGACAATAAGTCGAGAAATATTCCGTGAGTTGCTAAAAGCAGTATATAAGTATTTGCTCTTACAGAGGGTCCTGAAGGGGGGGTCCCAATCCCATTTCCCACCCAATTTTGGCAAAATCCCAGTCCCAGTTGGATTTTTATTAGAAATCCCAGTCCGAGTTATTGAAATCCCAGTCAATAAAAAAACATTATTTATCGGTAGAAGAAACAGTTTTAAGACTTTTTAAGCCACCGTGTGTGCAAGTGGCGGACACTTTATGAAGTATTGGGGGCAGCTCGTGCCGAAGGCACGGAAAATTTTTAAATTTGAATCCCGGAAATGGCATTTGCAGCATTCTGAGACACGCATAATCATAAAACCCAGAATTTCGGGCGCCAGAGTATGCCTGTTCGCAGAAAGTGCTGTGAATAATATAGTTAACAACAAAAATCATGACCAAAGACACCAAAAACGGACCAAAATTGTATTTTAAAATACTTAAAACGTAGAAAAAATGGGAATTGACTCGCATTACCTCAATCCCATTCCCATTTTTGAGGACTTCATTTCCCAGTGGCCAAATCCCAGTCCCAGCAACCCAAATCCCATTTTCCCAGTCTAAAAATAGATCAATCCCAGTTCCCATTTTACCCCTTCAGGGCCCTCCTTACAATATTGACCGTATGTAGACGTATTAAACAGTTTGATAATATCTTTCATAAAGTTTTTTTTTTATACTATTAGGGGCCATTCACAAAGGATGTCCCAGCCGAGGATCAAATTACCAACAGCAGCCAAAGGCAAAGAAAACCCAGACCTCTCAACTTTGCAGAGAAATTAAGAGTGAGATTGGGGATGTGGATGACCCCTTTGTAAAAGTCCGGGGGTCTGAAATGGCATTTCGTACATGATGAGAGTTGGTGTTGGGGGGGGTGCTCTGGTGCCGACTACCAAGTTGTGTTGGTCATGTGTGCCGCCCGCCCATGAACTACTGTATTTGAATTGTAATTGTTGTTCACAGTTCACTAGGGCTAGGGGGGGGGGGCACCCCCCAGTAAATCCATCCCTGTTTGTATATTCAGTGTAACACCTCTGTGTAACATTATTCTGCAGTGTATAAACATTATTCATGTATGATTATTCATATGTCATCTGTGACTCAATTTCCATTTTAGTAAATGACATACTTTTTTGTAGTTTCCTAGCAGAAAGATAAGGCTGACTCCTTCACAGAAGTCACCAGTGAAAAAACATAACTGGACCTTTGAGGAAAATAAAGCTTTGATCTAGTTATGGAAAAATTTTGTCCATAATAAAATATAATAACAACAATTTACAATATCCTAGTAATCTATGTCACTGTTATAATCGTAGGAATCCATAATAAAATATGTAGGGATCCATAATAAAATAAAATCAAATCAATTTACAATATACTTCTTGTGTGTGTTGGTGTTATGTACTCAGGTGAATATGATGTTTGTGATGTTACTCTGAGTGTGGACTAATATCCCAAAGATCGCAGGTTCGATTCCCACCGTGGTCAGGCAAACTTTTCAGCTTGCCCGATGTGCATGCACACTCAGAATAACATCACAAACATCAATTTACAATGTAGGGATCCATAATAAATTAAATATGTTGGGATCCATAATAAATAAAATAATTTAAAAATATTCTAGTAATCTATGTCACTGTTATAATTGTTTCTTGGGTCATCTCTGTCCCATGGTCCACTTTTCACAATCAACAATGCTGTACTGTGGAGTAATATCCACCAAGCACACAGAATTTATTGGTTGTAGATCACAGTTACATCCAGTTTGCCCTTGTAAATTTATTGGTTGTAGATCACAGTTACATCCAGTTTGCCCTTGTAAATTTATTGGTTGTAGATCACAGTTACATCCAGTATGCCCTTGTAAATTTATTGGTTGTAGATCACAGTTACATCCAGTTTGCCCTTGTAAATTTATTGGTTGTAGATCACAGTTACATCCAGTTTGCCCTTGTAAATTTATTGGTTGTAGATCACAGTTACATCCAGTTTGCCCTTGTAAATTTATTGGTTGTAGATCACAGTTACATCCAGTTTGCCCTTGTAAATTTATTGGTGACAGCACACTGTCCAACTCTTCATTAACAGTATCTGGATCTCGAGGTTGAATTGTTTGAGAAGGTGGGGATGGCAGAATATTGAAATCCCACAAAATAACATTCTCAAAGATAAAAGATTGTCCTGTTCCATCTTGCCCGAGATCACTGAGGTCAGAGAACTGCAACATATGAAAACAATATTCAGTTTAACAAAGTACAATATTAAAGTAGGGCACATGTGGGGACAGTGTGACTCAATGGGTTAACTAGACACATGGGCAGATAGGCCAGCTGCCATTAGACAGAGTAAAACAATCTGGCATGAGACAGAGTAAAATAATAAATGGTGCAATTAATGTGACTCATTTTAATAGTAATAAAATACCAAAGTAATCAAACCTCTATGATCAAACCAAATGAACAGTCTAAGCTTCTCTAACTTAAACTATTTTAGCTCTATATATGCTTATATTCAAAATGGAAAGCACAAATATTGACATATTGTTACCAACATTGGCTATAAAAATCTGAATCATAAAAAAAACATTGTGTAGGTACATTGCCTTTGTATTCGCTTTAACGATTAAAGCAAACGACTTACCCTAAAAGCACAACTGGAATGTATCTCTATCAATGCTGGGCTATTGCAATCGGCGAATGTTTCATCAACTTTTAGAGACAAATAGACAATTAAAATAGCGATTCTTCTGATATGCAAATTATCCAGAAAACTGATGTGAATCTCACGGCATTCAAAACTGAACACACGATAACCCATGGGAACCAACAGCGTAGGCTCTGACGATACACAATGAACAAAAAGAAGATCGTGTCCTTCCAAAACTGAAGCTTTATGGCGGTGGTCGGCTTTACAAAATCCGCCATATACTAATCTCACTCCTGTTGTTTTGATAGTGAAGGTCAAGCGAACAATGAGCACCCGCTCGTGGAAAATCAATAATATATAATTATTTGGAATAATCGCAATGCATCACGGTATAGTGACCACTCCTCCTCTGGTCGGGCCGTATATGCACAGGAGGCCCAGGCTCGATTTGCCCGCGCCCGCCTGTGCCTTCCTTATAACGAGGGAAGGAAGGAAACATTGAGACCAAAATAGCCCAGACTGGCATATGTCACACGAAACTATCCTCGATTTTTCGCCTTTAATGCATTTCTTTCACAATTAATCGATATCCCCTGCAAGAATGATACCGTATAACTCTCAAACCAACGATGCTTTAATCAAAGCGCTTAAGTTCGCTCTGAAATCCGTGAGGGAATAACAAAATTCGCCCAAAATATATCCGCGTGCCGGGTTTGCTGGACAAAAAGCGGAAGTCGTTGAACAACTCAAAATACACTCGGGGGGGGGGGGGGGGGGGGGGGTT